TGATCGATACCACTATCGATAATTTTCTGTTATTTGGTGGAAAGACGATGCGACTATATTTAACAAATAAATAATTGTATTTTAAATTAAATGTAATTTTTAATAAATGTTGGCATCAGTAGTTTAATTATATATTCTAAAATAATTAGAGCAATATACAACTGTATTACTCATGTGTCTCGCCAAAAACTCAATTTCCCTTTTCTTTACATTACACTTGAACGCATCATGATAACCTAATTGTGGTTTTACTGAGCCAACCTGAACACATCATCACGCAGCACGTCTGAAACTTTATTTACTTTTCAAGCTAACTAGCTTGTATGCTGCCGATTACAACACGGATTTCACAATTACTATTGTAATAATAAAAAAAACGACCAGACTCGATAGTGGTATCAATAAGCCCAAACGTTATTGATTTTCGGGTTTTGAAAAAAGTGGAACCGGGTCCTTGATAGAACCGGGTTTCGATCCCCATTCCTAGTTAAAACTGAAAGAAAAAAGCAGTCTGACATTTGATATATTATTGTGACAGTCTAAGGTTAAAGTAGGTGAGATTCTGGCATTGCAAAAGAGGAAACAGTGCTAATTCCAACATGTGCTTGACTCTAAATGCAAACTGGTCCATACAGCAGACCTAGACTGCTGCTGGGTCTGATTTTTATGGGCTACGCTGCTTCTTCTTCTTCTGGTTTCCTACTGGTGGTTGGCTTTGGGTGCAGTAGCGCCCCCTTCTGCTCTGGAGTGAACACGCTTCCCTCTGAGAAAAAGGAGCAGTGCATGAACCGTGCGGTACACACGCGAACCGAACCGAGACAGTCGAACCGAACGGTTCAGACGGTTTTAAGAAACCGTCCCATCCCTAGTAGATATGTCATTTAAGGCCTTCTAAACATGAAGAACCGACTTATGCGATGTGAGTTACCTGAAATAGTCCCCGACTCTTTTCAATCAAACCAGCTTCAAATGACAAATAATCAGTGAATAATCCACTGGTTGACTCCCTTGTTTTATTCACTATTATTATTCTCGGGTCAGACTTTGTTATCTCAGTTGGAGCTAAAATTGGAACTATAGCTGTTATCCTTAGAATATCGCCATGGGTGGCTCTCACATATCCAGATCAGAGGGCAGTGGGCGGGTTCTTTTATGTCTCTGTCAGACATACACAATGTTGCTTTCCTTATAGAATACATTCATTATCTTCATAGGTCACTGTCACAGTCATTTTTCAAATGTCAGACATCTATAAGACAGAGACTCTGAGTATTTTTCTGCCCGTGAAATTCCGAGGGAGGAATCGACTGTTCCCTCAACAGTAATTGTGACAAACACGATTCCAACACTCCAGCGTTTCCGTCTTTTTTACGAAACATGAAGCTTACTGGCACCGTATCCACACATCACACAAACACTCAGAAACAAAATAATGGTTATAGTAGAGAAGGTCAGGGAGAAAACGGTGAAGCATGAGTCAACTCATCCGAGGAGTGTACTCTGAGACTCACTTAGTTTGTGGTATCTCGTAGAGATTAACTCACCGACGTGGCTGCGAACAATCTGAATCCCCTGCATCTATAAGAGGGTAATGGAGTCTTACAAAGTGGTGAATGATAAGTGCGTAGGAGACTCAGGATAGTGGATGTCTGCCGAAGGCGTTGACCACAACACTGACATAGTGTGTGTACAAGTTTGATATTGAAGCCAGTGTGCCACAGTCTGTTTGTCTCAAGTGTTCCGCCCACGCAGAAGCCTTCGAGCTACACTTAGTCGTCAATTGTCTCCTCCTATTGTTTGTTTTTTTCCCCGCGCGTAGAAAGGCGTTCCTGAGCCCGACAAAACAGGAGAGCCTTCCGGAAGGGAGGAGAGAGACGATTCCATCCATCCCGTGACCCCGCCGGATCCTCGCAGCTCCGCTCTGCAGGGATGCGGCGGTTGGAAGGATGTTGGGCGCATCTGGGCACACATGTCTTGTGTGTGGGTGTGTTTTTTTAGATTCCGTGTTCTGGCACTCGCCAGCCAATAATTGCACATAATTGCCTCCATTTGTGGGGAAAAAGGCAAAAGATGAACATTAGTGAGATCTGTGACACGGACGGCTAAGTATTTGTTGGCTTTCGAAGGGACTCTTGCAGTTGATAGAATGGTGCGTGACGCACGATATCAGGTGATAATGTGGCGGTTGCTATGGTTACCGAGGCTGTTTAACCTGTTTTAGCACAACATTGGCTAACACTGAAAACACGGAGTGTGCAAACATTTATTCAGGCCCTGATTCTCTGTATCTTCGAGCACGCACAGGGAGAGAGAAAAACATCCTCCGTTTAAATCAGTGTCACGTTAGTTTTTGATCATGACAAAAGTTGGATGTTTTGTCTTTTTTTTATTTCAAAGAACCGACACATGGCACTGATTACAATCATGCGCCTCGGGGAAACTCGGTGCTAAAATGTGAAATGACTGGCATTCAAACTTTTTTACAGACGGTTTTGTAACCTGTTTCTGAGGTCCTCAGAAATCTCATTTGTGCCACGATACACTTGAGAAAAACAAGCGCAACGGTGTGAAGGCTGTCTGGAGCCAAACGGAGCCCGGGCGCACACGGCTCGCCGCTGGATCTGTGTGTTGTGATTACATAATTACTCCTACAGTGGGGAACAAATGAACCTGTGGCTGAGCATTTTATAACATCGTTTTGGTGACATTTCTCTCATTTCATAATTCCCTGACTTTCCTCTTTACCACACAATATCTGTAATATTTAATCAGGCCTTTTAAAGTTCTTGTGCATATAATACTGCTTAGTGAGGAATTCCCAAAAGAAGGACATGAACGAGACGACACTGACGACACGGCAGATGAAACGACATAAAATGAGATACAGACGTCAGCAGGAAAAGAGGTCGGCAGCACAATGGCACGCGCTCGTAAGGGCCACGGGAAGACACATATTCCTCACACTATTTTGACACGTGGGAGGACGTCTGTGAAGCGACGACCGCCGATATGCAGCCTTGTTACGGTGTAGACAATACAGAGCCTCATCCAGGCGACAAAAGATGGCACGCAGCAACGGATGTGCCATCAACGGGGGTTGGAAGTGATTTTTTTCGTCTCTCACCGTTTGCCCCCTTTGAGGATCTCTATGAGACTCTCTCTCTGCTGGCTTTTGTTTGACGAGAGCTGAGCGGTGAAGGGGGCTTTTCAAAACTGTTGCGCGTCCAAATAAAAAAGCCGGGCCCGACGATACAACAATGCACAGTGCACTCAACCGTTGCCAATTAAACACCAACGCTGACCAACTGGACTCCGCCGTGTCCTGGACGGGCGATTCAAAAAGATAGAAAGGAAAACAACAAACAGCGATGGCTGGAGAGGAGCAGAAGAGGCACCAAATGGTTCGGGAAAAAGAGCTTGTGGGCTGAGCGGTTGCGTAACTGGCTACAGCTTGAACGTTATTTTTCAAGGTTACTCAGAGATGGACAGAAAAGTCAGGCTCGGAGTTTGAGATGTTTTTTTTTTAAAGTTGGAGGCATCATAACTCCTAGATTTTGCCTTTGCTTTGCACAAAGGCAACCCTATATTGTTTCTAAAGATGGAGGACAAAATGAAAAAAGTGGGGGAAACGGCAGCCATTTTGTTCTGCTTACATTAAAATTGTGGCGTGCCTTTTAAGATGCAGATTTAAGGTGATCATTTCTAAAAACAATTCCTCGAATTTTGATTGGTCCAAACACAGCACAGATTTTTTGCCCAAGTGTCATTACTTTCTTTTCTGAAGTTTGCCTGAGCTCACACAGGGATTTCCATCGTCTCCCACTCATTAAAAAATGTACATACTAAATTGCTTTCAGTCTTATGACTAATTGTCCATCATTTTCAGAATGTAAAGAAGCTTTGAAATGCTCCACCACAATTTTTTTAGTCACAACCCTGTCTTTACTTCAACAACAACAAAAAAAAGCGCATCACGTAATGAAACAACCTTCTTTTTTTTATCTAAACTGGGATTTATGCTCAGTTACACTGACTCTGAGAATATTTTGTGTATTTGACTCAACCAACAGTAATTATAACCTCAATTACTTTTGAGGCTCCCTTTTCCAGCTGTGCACACCTGGATTCCAACCACCCACCCCTCTAACTATGAATTTAGTAGGTGGCTGGTGTTAAATGAATGTAACAATGAATTACCTGTCCGCCAATCAGATTTTCTTTGGCTTCAGGTCAGAATAAGCTGTCATGTTGTCAGGGCCCTCGCGTTGAAGTCACAGATGTATAGACGACATCTGCTCTCTTCTGTATTCAGGTACAGAAAAAACCTCAGCATGCAAGGGCTGAGAGTGAAAGCTGACATTTATAATCTGATCGGTTTTTTTTTAAACGTGTGACCTCATTTGGAGAGGAAGGCTTGGCTCTTCCTCAACAGCTCAGCCCGAACAGTTTGGGAAAATGGTCACCGAGCAGCGGGGAGACCTTTCCTTCTGTCGCCGTCCCTCGTCTCTGATTCCTGAGGGATTCAGTTTCTTTCTGCAGTTGTCATTTTCAGATGGAATCAGAACTTTAAAAAAAAAATGAATTTTTCTCTGTCAGCGGGACTGACAATTACTGACAATTTAAAATTACTGCGTAATTACTGTAAGTCCCTCATGAGGACTCTGGCCAGTCACTTCTTGCTTTCTTTCTGACACCTGGAGGGTGTGTGTGTGTGTGTGTGTGTGTGTGTGTGGGGACGAGGACATCTCTGATTAAAATTCTGTTCAGACTTCCTCCATCCTTTAAATATACCATGAGAGAGCACAGCTGGCTGTATCATATTTATTATTCACCTCTACTCGTTGGGAACTCACGGTGGTGTTTTCTAACCTCCATACCTGCCCTCACCTCCACTGTAAACGTCCTAATGACAAAACAGCAAAATTAGAAATTAAGCAGCACGCAAAACAGTGAGAGATCTTGCCTTTTGCACATTCAATCCTGCCCGCGTTGTGTGTGTCCTGACTAACCAGACGATTCTCTGGGCTGCAGATGGCATCGGTGTGGAGGGGATGGTGGTGCACAGAGCCGAGTGCCGGCCCGCCGCCTCCGACAGCTACATGAAGATTAAAAGGTGAGCGATTTGCAGATTAGAAAAAGTGTCAGTGCACATTTACCACGCTAGTTTAGTTTGTACATATGCAGAGGTAACATTTCAAATGTCAATACCTTTAGACAGAGTCAGGTACGCAAACATCAGGTATTTATCTCGCTTAAATGCGTGTTTTTTTATTTTTTTTTCAGCAAAGCCTCACGTGGGGGCGGGGGGTGGTTAAAAACTGATCTGGAATTGCTGTGATCAGTGATCTTAAGTTCTCTCAGTCCACTCTGCCTTTTTAACTGGCCTCTGTGCCCTCTTCTTTGCTATATATTATTCCAGCCAGAGTTGGTGGATGGCATTGCTATGGCAACAGCATCACTGTGGCAGATGCAGTGCTCCAGTCCATCCCAAAGCCAACACACAGCACCCAGTTTGTACTAGTCTGTCAGCCATCAAATCAGAAGGGAGTACTCTGAACTCCCCCCCAAAAAAACTAAACAAAAAACAATCTCATTTCAGGAATTGTGAAAGAATTCCCGCCTGAATCCAACTTTGCTCTCAACATTGTCAATATCGGCTTTTATAAAGAGAACGCTACGATCACAGCAGACATATAGTTCTGCAGTTTGCAAATTTGAAAAAAATGTTTTGGATCCATTTTTCTACTCATTTGGATGGCAGCAGCTGACAAATGTCATTCCAGTCTTGCAGGCTGGAGAATATGAAGGACATCTTGTTGTCATGGTGGCGTCTGAGTGTGTGTGAAGAGTTTTAATGGAAATTTTTAGCATTTATCATGATTGCACGAAGGGTTTGGGGCCAGAAAATGCATGATTTATTACGTTAAACACAGGTTTTTGTAACCGGAACACAGTGAGATGAACATTTTTTTGGGGGGGATTTAAGGCAGCTGATCATCGGCACTGAAATATTTTCAACAATTAGCCAAATACAATTCAATAAAAGTTAAGATAAGTTATAACATTAACTGAACAGAGCAGAGGACGTGGGAGAAGGGGTAGCAACTAGTGTATATTTGGTAAGTTTAACCTGAAGGGACCGACTGTTGCCAGCGCATCAACGGGTTCTGCTCCATCACAGAGACACAAATCAAACTTCCCGTCTCTCTTTTGTTGTGTTTCTGTGTGTGAGGCTGCAGATTGACTCCGCCAAGCCGCAGCGCCTGTCGCAGCAGCTGGATAAAGCCATCACGACCATCTTCAAGCCGGTGGCTAACCACGATTTCAACGTGAGAAATATACCGACAGGGCTGTACCCGGGCAAGTGTGGAGACGCGGTTTGGAAACGCGGTGTGGTTTGATCTGTGCAAGATTTAGAGGGTCATCTAACTGATAAACTGGTGAAGCGCTGTCATCAGGGCCACATTTGGTCTGTTAGAAGATATGTCGTACTTTTACACTAATTGCATGGCAAAAAGTTATTTTTATTATCTTCATATTCTTAAAATGTGGCAATTGTATACGTTTTCTTTTAGACGTGTACTCCATCCTTTCATAAAGAGCTTATCTGAGTAAAAACCGAATCGATTTATCCTACCTGGGTAGTTTTTTATTGGTTTAAATCATTAGTGTTGCAGATTTATTACTGACCTATTAGTTGAAACTTAAGCATTGAATAGTGCTTTTCGGTCTCCATCAACCAGCTGTATGTTCTCTAACCCAGAGTTGACATGTCTGTCCTTTTTATTTTGAAGTTTTCCATCTTCCATCACTGTGTGTGACCCCTGAAGGTGGATTATGACAAGAAGAAGAAGTCCGAGGGGAAGATGGTGCGAGCTGAGCGGCAGGTCGTGCTGGACATGCTGTTTTCTGCCTTTGAGAAACACCAGTATTACAGCTTCAAGGACCTGGTGGACATCACCAAACAGCCCGTGGTGAGCAGCGTCCGAGCGAAAACCGGGGCTCACACGGCCAACTGGAACAGGAAACACTAACGCACCTGCCCACTGTCCACTTTGCTTTTGGTGAAATGGGGAAAAATAACCCACAACGTGAACGTTTATCTCTATTCGCATTGTCTGTTATGGCTGAAATGCAGGCCAACACTCACACACACACACTCACACACACACACACAGGGGACGAATCGATCCAGTGCAGAGCATTCTTTCCCGCTCCCAGTGAACAGCATTGTGTAGGTGCTGATGAGACCTCCAGGTCCTCGTCTCTCTGATTGCATCTGATTGCGTAACCATCGGCTGAGTAGGAGTCAAACGCCCCGATACACTCCACAGCATTGTTTCTCTCCCAAAGCACTTGGCCGGCACTCAACTTGAACTGAACTAAAGTAACCGAAATGCCCATCACGAGAAAAAGTCTCGTAGCTCGGCGAGCCCCGCCGCTTTTTTTACAAGCTCAACAGAGACACCCTGTGGTCGCTGTGGACCGTAGAGGCTCACATCCGGCTGCCAGGGAAAACGGGCTCCTCACCTGTACAAAAAAAACAACTAAACCTTTAATGCTTGAACGAAATTGTCCTGTTAAGGATGTCGCCCTATTTCAAAGGCAAAAAGAAGAACCTGGACTCAGCCCTGGACTTCGGAATAGTGCTACAGAGCTTGATTATTTGCTGATAATGGGATTAATTTAGAAGCCGAGTTCCAGGATTTTCAAAATGGACTTGATTAAAAAGGTTGATGTGAGAGTAGAGTTCTCCAGCTGAAACGATGACGGTGCGGCGTCAGCTTCATGGGAAATTTTTGCTCACACTTTCTCCTTGTCTCCCACAGACGTACCTTAAAGAGATCATGAGGGAGATTGGAACGTGCAACCGCAAGGGAGCGCACAAAAGCACCTGGGAGCTGAAGCCGGAGTACCGCCACTACCGCTCTGCCGAGGAAGAGGAGGAGCTGCAGGGCCTTTAGCCGCAGAGGGCCGGCACCGGCTGTGACAGGAGAGCGGATTTTGAGTCATGTGACCGTCGTTGAAGACTTTGTTTTATTTCTTTAAGTTGATATTATCGCCTTTCTGTACAGCCCTGACCACATTGCCTCTACGTTCATGAGTTGTGGGACGAAGAGGGCCGGGCCAAAGCCGCTGGATTAAAAATCTATGGTTACGAGGTCATGGTTTGTCCATCTTAAGGTCGCACCAATGTAAAATGGAAAAAAAATCTCTGCTGTGGGGGGGGGGCGTGGACCCCCGAGCGCTTGTGTTCAGTTCAAACAGCCGCTCAAAGGAAAAGTAAATCTAATGTGAGCAAAACGGACAAAGTGGCTGGAAACTCTCCTCATCCCATGGGTCATCTCTCTGTTAGCGTTACCGTAGCAACAGCTTTAAACTACATTCCCAATAAAGTAGATTGGTAAGGCGTGTTGTGGCACCCCTGTTGTTGGATGTCAACCTCATGATTAGGGTCAGTTGCACTTGTTTTAACCAAAAAATGGTTTAAATTCACCTTCTCAAAGCAAGAAACTCTCCCAGGTAATGAGGCTGGAGGTTGAAGAGCTCCTGCACAAAGCAGAATCTTCTATCTCCATTCACCTCATCAGCCCTGTTGAGCATTGTAGCTTTTTTTCATTTTCAAACAAGTTCCAGCATAATCTTTTTAGGATTCATCCTCGAGTATCTCAACTGCTTATCAGTTTCCTGAAACCTAGTTTCTGTTCTGCTCACGTGAGGTACATTAAGACAGCCGTCTCTCCCTTACAGGCTCTCTTCTGGTTTCTGAGACTTCTTGAATTCCTTTTGTGATGCCGTGTCTTAGAGACACTGCTTTGAGCTGTCCGTCTTGGGACACCTGTGTTTTAGAAATGGCAACCGAGCGTCCTCACAGTATTCACACAGCTCAACCGAAAAAGCCATCTACATTTTTGTTGTGAACCGTCCTGACCAAAGAGATACTTTCACCTCATTTCCCCTTTTGTTCAATTGAAAAAATAAAATACAAAACTCTGGCCATAATCTTTCAGAAATAAAGATAACTCAACATGGTTGTACTTGATTTTATTTTCATTCAACCAAAGATCTTTGCATTGAGGAATATTTAATGCACCAATGAACCCAAACAGAGGTCGGGGGATGCCAAACTGTAGATTGTTACCAAAACAGTGCGACAGATGAGGGGAAGAAGAGAAAAGGCTTCTTCAGCCAGAGTCAGAGCTTCACTCAGTCCTGTCTTAGTTTCCAAAAAAAGAAAACTGGGCTGAAGAAAAAAAGAAAAAAAAAAAGCTAAAAACTGTTTAGTGACCGAATCAAGTTTGATTCTCCCCGGCTTTGAGCTGCGTTTTTGGGCTGTGATAACACTCATCCAGGCGAGATGCAGGGCCGTGCTCCAGATGGTTTCCAAGCGGTTACTGAAACAAAGAGGGACACGTGTTACACTTAAAACACTGGCGCACCACCATCGTTCCACCTGTGTGTCAGATTGGGTCTGAATACGTACACATTTCTCCTCCTCCAGACCATCTTTGAAGAAAAGCATGTATGGCGTGACACCGTCTTCGCGGAAGTTCAGCATGCCCATAGCGCCATCTCCGTTCAGGGACTCTCCTATGAAAAACTGAAACGGGAGCACGTCAGCGTCGATAAAGCCGCGACCGTGTTCGCCAACACAAGCTAACCTGTTTCGGTAAATACCTGGTAGTCCTTAAGTTTCGGGAGGAGCTCCTTAACCGCAACCTGGGCCTCCTTCATGAAGCTGTCTACTCTGTCGGGTTTGGACTCCTCCAGTTTGGCCTTGACCCTAGAGAGAGAACGGCGCTTTAGTTTCTCATTTCGACCGGGAAAAGCGGCAGTCTCTGCCTTTAAAGGGGCGACCCGTGGTTTCGGAGATACTCACGTTTTCAAGTACTCTTTAGCATAGGCCAGGAAAGCCTTCTTATCAAGAGATGGAACCTCCTGGAGTTTGTGATTGAGGACGATGTCAATACCAGAGACGGTGGAGGACAGGTTACCGTCACAGGCCTCCTCGGCAGAGGCGTTGCCGCCGATCAATGAGTCATCGATATCTTCAGTTCTGGAGATCATCTAAAAAATTTAAAAAAGGAGATGGGAGAACGTGCTCTTTAGGATGGCAGCTCCATTTTTACAACTTACATTAAATACGTTTTTTTTTATGCAACCAGGCCAGGGATGGGCAACGAGAAGTTTCCCTGCTTCAACACCTAATTCAGAGAATCCCATGCAGAATTTAAACTTTAGAAGAGGTCCATTTGATCTGAATTAGATGTGTTGAAGTGGGGAGAACTCTGAAACCGGAGTTGCCCATCCCTGAACCAGGCCAAAAGGATAAAACAAATCACTAGTCATCAAGCCGGTTCCGTTCAGAGTCTTGAGTCATGATTTCCATGTGACTCATGGCTTCGGCATTGATGATTAAGAGACGCTACCATCCCTGTGTGGGACCCACAAACAACTCACCTTTCCTTCAACTTCATAGAAAATGCCTGTGTCCAAGATTTTGTAGATATCCGAGAACATCTCATCTCCTACGAGAAAAAAAAAAAAAAAAAAAAAAAAAAAAAAGAGACGACGTGGTCACAAAGAGCCCACAAACACACAGTCCCCACGCAGTGGGGTGGGTAAAATGAACTTCCAAGTAGTAATGAAAATAGTTAGCTCTCTTATAGCATCGCTAAATTGCGAAAGGACGTGGCTTGTATCACATTTACATGTCCAACGCTAGAGAAACCGGGCCAAAATAACTGTAGCTAACTTTAGCAGCTGGTAGCAAAGGTAGCCGACACGTACCCCATTTAACTGAATTAACATTTAGCGCTAGCGTCCAGAATGCTAACGTTCGGCACGCTTCTAAACGCCTTCAATTTTACTTTTGAGTAACTTTTTGGTCAATAAATTACGATAAAACGTGTGCCGCATCTGAAAGGCTAGCCGCCAGGGCGGCTAACGCCGGGCACATCCAAACGAGCTCTTGATGCAATAACTTCCGAGCAATGGTAAACACGAGTTAGCAGGCCTCGCTAATTCTCTACACTGCGGAAAGCCGCAAACAAATAACTACGTACTGCACAGTTAAATTACCAACGTACACATGGATAAATCCACTAAAAGCTTCTACTCACCGCAGATGATGCACTTGTAGATTATCATTTTGGTGCTTGTGTGTTAAATTTTCCTAGAGAGGAGAGTAGGCCAACTACCCTGACGGCACTGGAGAGGGAAAAGAGAGAGCGGCCTGCGAGGCTCTGCATTTACATCCTGCTGACGTCACGCCTCCGCTTTTCAGCTTTGCTGCCACTTTAACGTTGTGGCCACAGACGGTACTGCACCTACATTATCTTACTTAACCAGACTAATTGATCACATCCATTATGATTGCCTTTTTTAACGACCTCCTCACTTGCTATTCGAGTGACTTTTATCCATAATATAATATTAAAAGTTATTTTCATTTTCAGTTTAGCCTTTTTGCTTAGATTACACATTTATGTTTATTGACTTGATGGGCTCAACAGGAAATCACAACTTTACATTACTTGTAAATTAACTTTATTTCTTACTTGTCAGAACATCATTCTGGTGCAACAAGCACCATCTCAACTTTTGTGCTCATCTGAATCTACACATGTGATGGACCTTTTTCTGGAAAATTTAAACCAGAAGTTATCTCATCTGGTCGTCTTCCAAGAAAAGGGCAACAGTGAAACGATTTGAGTTTAAGAGGGCAAATAAAAAGTCCAATCACTAACCCTGCAAAATCCTTAAACATCATGAAGGAAAAAAATAAATCAATAGCTGAGTCCTACATCAGGAAGCAACCAGAGGCAGCATTTGGTGATAGCCGGGGCATGGTTACAATTCTGTTGGGGGGATCTCAAAAACCTAGCTTAATTTTCAACTACATTTAAAACTCCTTTGAAAAGGAAGAAGATTTCAGTGTGACATATGAAGAGGAGCAGCACATTCAAATAGAATACAAGCAAGAACAACAAAAAAAAATGTTAAAAAGTAATCATGTAGAGTTATACACAAAATAAACAAATATGAGAAATTATTGACAGATGATTAAGATGCAAGAGGGTAAAGGTCTACAGCATTTGCTCCAAAACCCTCCTCTCATTATAGTACAACGCCGATTCCCATTTGTGACCATCTTAGGTATGGGTCAGCAAAACAATTGCCATAGATTGAGGCAAGTTTCAGTGACGTAACATGTAGTCCTGTGATCAGAGCTTTAAGACTAAGAATTCAGCATACAGATGTGCACAGCACAGGGAACACACTGGTTTCCAAAGTCGGATTATTTTGAATTGAAACTTAATCAAGCTGTAAATCTTCATATTCAAAAGGCTACAGCTGTCCACAGTCTGTGATGACAAGTTTCTTGGAGGGAGGGCCTGCCTTGGTGCCCAGCTCTCCCATCTGCTGCACCACATCCATGCCATCCCGAACCCAGCCAAAAGCCACATGTTTGAAGTCCAGATGTTCCGCTTTCTTCAGCGTTATAAAGAACTGAGAGTTGTTGGTATCGCGCCCGCGATTAGCCATTGACAGGATTCCCGGCCCTGTGTGACGCACATCAAAGTTTTCGTCCTCAAAAGCTCCGCTGTAGATGGATTTGCCACCTGTGCCGTCGCTTTTGGTGATGTCACCTCCCTGAAATGCAGAAAAGTAGGATGTCAGTAACAGAAGAACTGCAAAACATGTTCATGTGGAGAATCTACAGACACCACTTGGTTCTAAATAACCCCCTCCTTTTGGGGTGGATGTTTGTACTCTGTGTTTTTAAAAGCGGCGGGGCTCACGTAAAGGAGTCGCTCTTAAGTCATGTGACTCTCTGGACTCTCTTTGTTCTGTTTGTAACAGTTCTCACCTGACACATGAAATTTGGTATGACTCTGTGGAAGATGGAGTCCCGCAGCCCGAAGCCTTTCTCGCCGGTGCAGAGAGCTCTGAAGTTCTCCGCCGTCTTGGGAACGATATGGGAGAAGAGCTCTATGGTGATGGTGCCAAGCGGCTGGCCGTCCGCGGCCACTTTGAGGTACACCTGTGGGTTGTCCTCTCTGGAGTGCTCTTGAACTCTGGACATCTGCGGAGCGGAGAGGCATGAGGCGTCTTCGCCAGTTTCTGCCATGCGGCGCTGGCACTCGCAGAAGACCTTCTTGAAAGATTCGGCTATTTCGGGGGTTTTGAACTTGACCGCCAACTGCTCCACAGCGCCATCACCATCTGGGAGAACAAAGGCAAAGATGAGACCATCAGACGGGAAGAAACGCGTCGCTACATGCGTTCAGTGTTGAGCTCATAATATTTGATTCATTTCCAAGCTAAACACAAAGAGCTTCTGGATCTGGAAGGGATGCTACAGCTACTAAACTCAGCTCCGTCTTATTGGGAAGACATTTTGACCACCACAAAGCTTCAAATCCGCACAGAGGGTGTACCTGAGTAGTCTGTGGCGGTCCAGACCAGCGCGTTGGCCGAAGTGTTCATGGGTTTGAGCTCCATCGCCGTCGCGATCGTGTGATTGGCACAAACCCTGAACACCTGATCCCTTCTCATCAGGATGCGGTAGAAGTGTTTGGCGGGGTGGAAGAGGATCTTGATGTCACCAACACCACGCTCTTTCCACTGGCCAAGGTCCCGGTCCCAACGGTAGAGCTTGGTGCGCTCCTTAAACAGGATTTCTTCGTCCTCCTCTCCGGACTTTGTCTCCACCTGAGGGAGGCGCAAGGCTCACACATGAACACGTGAAGGGGTTCAAAATGATTTAACCGCTGACCATTTATAAAGAGAACATATAAAATACCTCAGGTAGAGATACTATGGGCTCGAAGTGAATGTCAGCATCGTTTGGCGCCTCCTCTTCGTCACTCCCGTCCTCCTCACCATTGTTTTTAGGTTCAGAGGACACAGCAGGCCCAAATACTGTGGCTCCAGCATTTGCCCACGAGAAGTTAGAGTCTGAACAAACAAAAGTGGAAAACATGATGAAGTTATTGTGACCTAATGCATCCGAAGAACACAACAGCTGATGGGGAAAAAGTGATGTGAAAGCCAACCTTTTGTTCCAAAAGAAAATGCCTCTGTGCTCTTGGCTAGGTCAGCAAAAGAGAATCCTGAGCTGGCGCTAAAGCCAAAGTTGGAAAGGTCTGCAGACACAGGAACCATGATTTTAAACATTGAATTCACATGAAGTAAGGCGTGAATAAAAGACATGACAAAATATGTAGCACCGGAGGAGACATTGAAATCATAAGAACAACATAATACAAGAAAACACATAAAAACAACAAAAAGATAACATATGTCTAGTAATAACATAAATATATAGAATTGTGCACGCTTGGGGATACGGACACAATATTTCTAATGTTAAAAGGTCTAATTCCTGCAGTGGAGACAGGCCAAAGCCTGCTTATACCTTGGCCGGCTGGTGTGGCGGCTGGGGCCGCAGCATCCGTCTCTGCTTTGGACTCCTGCTCTGGACTCTTCTTAGTCGACAGGTCAATGGGAGAGCTGCAGCGGGGAGTCTCGCTCCGAGTCTCTTTTGGCTGCTCTGGGGTCTGCTGATCTTCTGTGGAGGTGCTGGATGATGGACCTTCTGCGGGTTGCTCCGGGGCCTCTGCGGGACTGGCTGAAGACTGCTCTGCTCTGTTGAACTGCGAAACCTGACATAACATACACAGACAGAATTCTTTGACAACATGGAGTAAAAGATATGCCTTGATAGTGGATACTGTCTGCTTGCATGAATTGAAATGATATGTAGAGACTCGGCAAGAGCCATGTACCAAAGCTTGTTGTGCAATGAGGACCTCGGTCTCAAAGTCTTCCAACTTGTCATGGTCAGAGTCGCTATCTGCGGTGCCCAAGCCACAGAAGAACGTAGGGGGAAGCTGGAGGCTCTTCGCCTTCTGCTCTTCTTCAGGCGTGGCCTTCTTTTCCCACACAAACTGACAGTCTGTCTCTGAAAGCAGCAGACACTAAATTAATGGGACCGTGATCGGCAGGACAGGCCACGTTCTATACAGATGTCCAATTGCTGTAGATTACTTTTCAAAACAGATTTTCAGAGCTCAATTAACTAATGAACGGTTTTATCTTACTGATGCGCCAAACATGAGGGATTAAATGGGGACAGACGTACCGTCAGGACACGCTGCGGCCTGTGGAACATCAGGGTAGAGCTTTCCATTCAATGCTTTCACTGCAGAGTCATAGTCCTCATCTGAAAGTTCAAACAAATTCAGCACATTTGTCTTTTAAATCAAGTGAGTTGGCAAAGGAAACATCAATATTGATCCTGTTCACACCTTTGATATCCAGACTTAAAAACTATGTGTCTTGTGTACAAAACATTTCTATCAAAATATTGAGTCTTTCAAGCACTGTAGGGACAAATATAACACGTTGACTTTATTTGATTGTATTTTGGTCACATAAAATAAACAGGAGACCAGAAAATGAAGCGAAATTCCCAATTTAAAATAAATCCTTCGTATTGTTCTACTCTTGGTTTGTATCTTTTGGTCTCACCGTCCGTCTCATTGTCGCTGGTGTAGCCTGGTTCATTCTTATAACAGAAGAATGTGAGAGGCAGCTGAAGTTTCTTGGCTAAAGCCGCCTGCTCGGCAGTGGGCTCCCTGACATACACAACTTCCACCTCCGAGTCCTCGTCCGACCCCGAGCCCCCTCCTCCTGCCTGAGGGGAGCCTGTGAGAGCGGGACAAAATGAAAGCAGAAAACACTGAATGAGACCGAGAGGGACCCGCTCACGGAGAAAAAAAAAAAAAAAAAAAGTATCCTCGGCTTTGACACAAGTGTCAGTATCACACAAAAATCAGAGACCAAAAAAATAAATAAATCATGCACAACACAATGAACAGCATGCTTGTGATTTATCACTGTGAGACACAGGTATTAGGGCAGCGTTCAGTATGGGGTTTATAATTCTGACTTCTGGACACATTAAGCGGCATAAATACCTGAGCTTCACCTCTAAGTAGCCTCTGCTGAGGTGCACATCCCCAGCAGAAGTCTCACCAGGCAGGGAATTGCATATCATGCTGTTGCTACACATCCAGCACTAAAAATGGCACCTGTGACGCTTGCACAGTGCATGCCTCTGCAAGGGGACATCCTCTGCTCTCAGCTCACCTTTCAGAAGGCATTTCACTTTTACGGACATGCATCCCTGCTGCTGTTTTGTCTGATCCAGCATAACTGCCTGATCGTTGACTATCAGTAAATGTTCATTCACACAGTACTACCACAGTATTATGACTCTCCCTATAAAAAAAACCATAAATGTATCTTTAAACTGTCACTTAACTGCACATTTATTCTTCAAAAATCTCTGCCCACATCAAGAACTCAACACCCACACACTGGACATGCAACAGATTAGCTTCACTGATTTACCACTCCGTGCATCCAGGTTACTGTTCATCTAGAATGAGTAGGGGCCAGCCAGGTGACAGCTGAGAAATGTTAACACACACTGAGGTAATTGGAGTACCTGGGGGCTCAAATTGGAGGGTGGATGTGCTGGTCCAAAAGGCCATTGGGTTATCTTTGAATAGCCTAAAATCCAGCCCTAAAGGATGATGGATGTTGGGCGAAGAGAAACTAATTGTGAGGCTGGTATGTTCAGAAAACAATGCCAAGATGTTCAGGATTGAAATACCATGACAGTGTAATGATTGAAATCAAAAATAATTACAATGGGATATTAAGCTAAGGCTATGTTGGCTTCATCTACTGACAGTTGAAACCTTACGTTTGAGCACAAATTGTGGAACTGTAAGAGGGGAATGGGGACTGATTTCCAGCCAAATTCATCTTTAATATTAAAAGTGCCGGATCAGTGAAAACTAACACGATGGGACGATGAGATGCAGATGGAGTAAACACATCATTAAAATGACTGCAGTAATACTCATTCCAAAAGACCTTTTTAATAGTCCCCTGCCCCCCCTTACCTGTGTTCATTTTGAATGCAGGTGCAGCAAGGGCTGCCTTTGCAGGACCACCAGGATCTTTGGCTTGCAAACCAGACGTAGAGGGCTGAGTCTCTGGGTGGGATTTAGGCGTTCCAAAAATCTTCTGAAGTGTATCGGTGCCAAAGACAAACTTAGGGGGAGACACAACAGCCTTTGTGGCGTTGACTGGACTCTGGGGTCCGGCTGCACATGGCCAAGTGTCAGGAGGAGGCTCGGTGCGCTCCTTTGTCGTCTCTTCCAGGACAGCGATCGCCGCCTTGCCGCATACAGGTGTTGTGTTTGCAGACCCTGGTGTTCCACTCTCTGCTGGGGCAGCAGCTCTCGATGTCACCGGGGTCATGAGCTCTTTCTTTTCTTGTGCATCCTTGGCCTCATCAAAGACCTGTTTGAATGCATTTGCAGTGTCCTGCAGCTTGAATCTGACAGCCAGCTGCTCAATGTTACCCTCTCCGTCTTCAGCAAAGTCCATGGCACTCCAGACCCAGGCCTTCTCTGCACCCTTCATAGGTTCCAGCCTCATGACTGTGGTGATCCAGTGGTTGGCACAGATCTTAAGTACCTGATCTCGTCTCATGATCAACCTCACTCGCTTGGTGTCATAATTTTGCAAGATTTTGAGGTCTCCTATTCCCCTCTCCTTCCACTGACCTGCTTCCTTGTCGTAGCGATACAGTTTGGCTCTGTGGCTGAAGACCACATGTTCATTTTCCTCTCCGGTAGAAATCTCTATCAAGTCGGGCAAAGGCACCACGGGCTCGAAGTACTGGCCGTCTCGCTCTTCATCTTGCGTCACGTCCTGCTCGTCATCAGTGCCCACCGAGGCTCTGCTTTGGTTCAGCTTAGCGGGCGACTTGGAGGGGCTGATGCCCGGTTGGAAACTGAAGCTGAACCCACCAGTGGACTCTCCAAAGCGGAAGAGGTTCTCTCTCAAAGGGCTGCTAGCAAGGGGTGAGGCGTAGATGGACGAGTCGGCAGTATCGTCTAAAGCTTCTTCTCGTAGGTCGTAATTATCCCACTCCAAAGTCGGGCCGGTGGTTTCGCCTTGAGGCCTGGTTACTAGGTTTGAGATGTCACTCTGTGTGTCGTCGTCTTTGATCTTCGTTTTCTCGTCTGTCAAAAACGATTTCAGGTCTTTCAAACCGGATTTCATTTCCTCGGCTTTCTGGATGAGGTGTGCCGTTCTGCCCGTATCGACCAGCTTGTGGGGGGTTTGGAGGGGAATGTCAAGGAGAAGTCTCTGACACTCTTCAAACTTCTCTTTGAACTCCTCGGCTTGTTCTGGGGTTTTAAATTTTACAGCCAACTGTTCGAGTCTGGCGTCCCCATCAGAGAAGTCGTTGGCCAACCAAATCCAAGCTTTGTCTGAGCCTGACAGCGGCTTGAGGTTCATGGTGGTGTTGATCCAGTGGTTTGCACAAACCTTCAGAACTTGCTCTCTTCTCATCAGCACCCTTAGCCGACCATTACTATTGTTTTTTAGGAATTTGAGAATTCCAACCCCCCGTTCTTTCCACTGACTGGTGGTGGTGTCAAATCTGAACAGTTTTACACGCTGAGAATACAGAACCTGTTCATCTTCCTCACCTGTAACCACATCCACTTTCTCAGGCATCTGGACTACTGGTTCAAACTGGATGTCATCATTTTCCTCCGTTTTATACATGCCATCATCTTCCTGCTCATGGGAGTCAGTCTTAGTGGGGGTGGCCTGGAATGATGAGAACATCTGCTCTCCAGCTCTAGAGAAACCTTTGAAATTGGAATCTGTCTGGCCAAACTGGAAATCCCCTCCAGAAGATTTAGCCAGGTCGGCAAAGCTGAACGCATTGGTTTTCCCAGAAATTAATGGATTTTCATCCTGGTCTGTTTGATCCACATTTTCTTTTTCCTTTTGTTTGTCAGCTATGCTTTTAAGAAAACTGGATGCTGACCCTGATGGTGTCTGACTATCAGATGATGTTGACTCCTTTGCAGGGTCCTGAATGCCAAACTTGAAGCCACCGGTTGGAACAGGCATTTCGAACGAGAACCCTGAAGATGTGGCTGTAGGGACAGACTGAGGAGCTTCAAACTTGAAGGGGGCACCTTTGCTCTGACGTACCTGAAAAGTGCCGTCACTTTCAAATGGCATTGAAAATCCAGTTGCAGCTGGCTGGTTTGATGAACTCTTACTGCCAAAGGCGAAACTGAAAGTGGAGGCTGAGGAAGCTGCACTGCTTGTGCTTTTGGCGCTGGGATTCTGGGTCTGACAGGCGACGCATTTACTGGCAGAGGCCTGGTTTCTCACCAAACAAGTGTCACAATCCCATTCTCCGTCTTTCATGCCAAACACGGCTGCCAAAGAGGAACTGTCATTTGGGGCGTTGCATGAAATGCATTTGGCTGCGGATGCATCGTTTCTGACCAGGCAGGAATTGCAGTCCCACTGCCCATCTTTGTTTGCAGAGCCTGCCCCAGATCCTGACACTGCCGGTGTGCCACCTGCTGAGGTGGCAGCAGAATTTGGGGTTTTACAGGCAACACATTTGTCAGCGGACGCTTCATTTCTTACTTCGCATACATTACAGTCCCACTGTCCAGGCTTCTTGCTAAACAGTGCGGTAAAGCCAGAGTCAACATCGGTGGAGGACTGTGCTGCTGGTGCATCCGAGGCCGCTGGCACGGGGGCGGTTGTTGCAGGTGTGGTTTTAGAAGTTTTACAAGAAACACAACTGTCTGCGGAGGCCTCATTCTTTGCCGAACACTTGTCGCAGTCCCACTGTCCAGGCTTTTTGGATGACTGTGAGCCAAAGCCAAAAGTAAATGCGCTGGTCGTTGTGTCTGCAGGCTTTGAGAAGTTGGTGGCAAATCCGAATGAGGGAGAACCCGTGTTTCCGAAAGCACCAAAACCAGTGAACGTAGAGCCAGAACCACTGGGCTTTGAGGAATCTGTTCCAAACTTGAAAGTAAACGGACTGGGTTTGGTTTCAGCAACAGATGCAAAGTCGGGTTTTGATGCAGACTGAGAATTAGCATGCTGACATGCCACGCACCGCGAATCGGTGGGTTTATTTCTTACACAACACACACTGCACTCCCATTCCCCTTCTTTAAGAGCAAACTGGGCTGCCAGTGAATAAGAGTCTTTTGAGCTTTCCCCTTTTTGCTCTTCTTGTGGGTGCTTTTCTGGGGATTTCGGCACTATCTTTTGGGCTTCCTCAAACTTGAGTTTAAAAAGCGACGCCTCATCTGCTGTTTTGAAACGGATGGCCAGTTGTTCCGTCTTTGGTTCTTCATCGGCATAATCGATGGCATTCCACACCCAAGACTTGTCAGAGCCAGCGTTTGGTTTCAGGATTATATCGGCAGTAATGTAATGATTTGCACAGATCTTTAGGACTTGTTCTCTTCTCATCAAGAGCCTAACCTTCCCTTTGGTGTTGTGTTTCAGAATCTTTACATTGCCAATGCCTCGTTCTTTCCACTCTTTTGTCTCAGTGTCAAATCTGTACAATTTGGCCCTGTTGCAAAACATTTCCTCCTCCTCTTCCTCACCGGTTTTCACATCTACTTTATCAGGAAGAGGTACGATGGGTTCAAAATGAGGCCCGTCTTCATCCTCCTCAGCATGTGCACTGTCATTATCGCTCTCCACTGCTTTTACTTGCTCTGCAGCAGACTTGCCTACACCATATCCTGGATTGCCAACATCCCCAAATTTAAATGGCTGCTCCACTTTCCCAAAAAGACCTCCGCTAGCTGCATTCTCTGTAGCATCAACAAAGGAGAAGCTCGTAATGTTTTTATTGCCAAATGTGAAGATATTTGTTTGGCTGGGGGGCTGTTCGGGGCCAGGGGGTCTTTCTGGAACTGCATTCGTTTTAGTTGGAATGTCTGATGTGAGTAGACCAAGAAGATTTTCACTGTGCTTCGATTGGGAAGCAGAGAAGGTGAAATCGCCATCATTGGATTTAAAGTTGGAATTGAATTTAAATGCGGTCGAAGGTGTAGACTGAGCCACTGCCCCTGCGCCAAAGCTAGGCACCCTGGGGACTTCAGCAGGAGCCTGCTGGCTGAAGGAGAGCTTCCCAAAGTCCACGGGCTTCCCTTCAACTGCCTTTGGTGGTTGAACGGGGACAACGGATGGCTTTGTAAAGTAGCCAGGTTCAGGAAGGGGAGGGTTAGTCGTCTGTTGGGTCACACTCTGACCAAAGTATTCTTCACTGTATGGTGAAAGGAGACTTGTGGCTGGTGATTCAAACCGAAGAGGGCCACCAAAAACCTGTTCCTGTGGAGGGTAGATGCAGGCTGGTGCAGTCTGTGATGGAGGGGTGTGAGTAGGCTGCTGGTAGGCATACATATGCTGCTGGGGAGGCATGCGGTTCACACCGTACATTGGGCCCTGTGAGAAAAGAGGGAATGAAAAATATTTAAATGAAAACACTCTGTACAGTTCATAAATGGTAACTGATGTTAGGTGACGAAAAATACCTTAGGTGGAGTAATATTTGCTGCCGTGCGCAAGAGATACTGAGAATTATAAGCTGGAGACTGGTTGTAGTAGATAGAAGGGCCTGTGGTAGCAACTTGAAGAAAAGATTATAAAATTATTCAAGAAAATTAGATTATGCTTTTATTCGTCATATGATGTAGGTCCACAAAGCACACTGACCGGTGAGTGGGGCTCCATGATAGGACTGGACTGGTGTAAAGGGTTCCTGCAGCCCCTCTGCCTTGAAGCTGTCTCCATACAGCTTGTGATGAGGGGATCCTGCATTTACTGATGCATTGTGTTTCAAATCATGAACCTCATTCTGCCAAACAGACACTTAATCAGTATAAAGGCATTCATTAGCAATAGTCATCAACACCCAGCTGATGTCAAATAAAGACTGAACTGCTGGTATGGGGATCAAGCTCAGGTTTTTAAATTAAATGATTGGTTGGTAAAAAAAGTCTTTCCAATGTTCAGGTCTGACCTTGAGGGCTTCAACTTGCTGACACAGCATCTGAAGTAGACTTTTTTGGTCCTCCACCCAATGAGGTGGTGTCTTCGGAGTAATCTGAATAACAGGGTGGAATTGATTACAAAACTCATAGGTTTGCGAGTTTCATGAAAATCTGTGATAAAAACAAGCCTCATAAAACAAAACGAAACAAAAAGAAAAAGACCAAAATTGTAAACATGATGACCAATAACTTCCACTTACTAGTCTCTTAGAAGGAGAAACAATGCTTTTGTTAGGAGAAGGGGTGGAAAACTTGATATGGGATATGGTGGCACTGGTTTCTGCTAGATGAGCTGGGGTAGAGTGAGGTGGTCTCCTTTGTTGCTCCAAGTTGTCATCCTCTTCATCTATGTCCTCCCCACTCTCTCCAAGCTGCTGGTTTACATCATTCAGGAGATCCAAAATTTCCTCCATGGACACAGGTAGCTAGGAAACATGAAGTGGGCGGTGGATAAATGCCGCTGACCAATGATTGACCATCCGTGCAACTGATGGCGCTGGGACTACTAAATATTGGGACAAACCTTATCAATATCATCTGCGTTGGCATTGTAGATCTTTGACAGATAAGTCCTGAACTTCCTCAGAAAGGTTATACACCTATCCTGCGTCTCCTCAACCCCACTGCTGGCCTCCTCCGACAGTCGCTGATAGATCTGTCAAAGAATGAATGCAAATGATCAAACACGCTGACCGTTCAGGATTAACAAGTTATACATTAAAATTCAGTGAAATTCAAATGCTTTTCCTGACAACTCTAAGCCAGATAGACTGGTATAGCAAGCAGCTATTCAGTGTGGAGAAAACATCAAACTGCTGCCATAAACCAAAACTATCTTCATTTCACAAGAAGGAACAAAACAAATTCTGACAATCCGAAATCAGAAGTTGTTCAGCCTGCTGAGCTTCATCTGCAGCTGGACATAAGTACGAAGACAAACCCAGCTGGCAACATAAAGGCATTCACAGACCTTCTGTAAAACCACACAGCTATTTCCATTTCTGAAGTTTGATACCGACAGAAAAGCAAATCGCAATTTTAATTTACCTGTGCTAAATGCCAGGTGGATGACAAGTTGTTGATGCTTTCCAAAGTTGCAATTGCTTCTTCTGTTCGGCCTTCGATGTCCAGGAGAACAGCATATGCTATTTTGGCTTCTTCTTCAAAACATTTCACAGATGAAATCTAAATATGAACACAAGCACATGTTATAACAAAGGCAGTGTCAAGAAAGGACTTCGTTTTTGTTTGTTTTTTTCATTTAAAAATGAAAAACGTAGTAAATATACCTGAACATCCTTGGAACGAAAGTGTATGAAGAGGGGCTCGAGAGGCTCTGGTATGCTGCGCCTGTTTTTAATTTTCTCTAACATGGGAAGTACAACTCTCCAGTAGTGGACACTGCGACCGATGTACTCCTTCTGGTCGTAGTATGAATTTACTCCCTCAACCTGTGTTATTAAACATATAAACACATTGAAATGTTAGGTGGAGTGTCGTTGGAGGCAGCAATGATACGGAGCACCCATTCGACACAAGCCATTACTTCAGTTAAAAAGCCTGTCATAAATACCAAAGACACATGGCCAAGGAAGCCGCACATGTGGCTGTTTAAACACTCCACTTTCACATAATCTGTTCAGCAGCTGCCGATAACAGCAACAGATAGCAGCAGCTGTGAGGGAGCAAGCTTTCACACATGCTTTTAGAGAGCTGAACAGTAAGCTTCACAGAAGATGTTGAATCTCACTAAGGATATTATGTTTGTATATGAAGAAAGATTTTTTGGTATGACTTTTTGGTATGGAAGAGCCACAACTATCAGAAACGCTTGTCAGAGTTCAGGCACTCGCTTCAGGCACACACTTCTGGAAATTCATTAAAAATGAGTGGACATTGTGTGTATGTGTGTGTGTGTGTGTGTGTGTGTGTGTGTGTGTGTGTGTGTGAATGTGTGTACCGTCTGGCTGAGACACTGAGCCCAGTGGATGGCCAGAGCAGGTTGGAGCCCATGTTTCTCTCCGGCCCTTAAAGTTGTCAACCCATGTTGCACAATAATTCGCAGTTTAGCTGATGTACCAGGACTGCAAGAGGATACACACGAGAAACAACCACTACATTAATACAAATACAACTGAGAATCTGCATTTCACATAGTAGAAATTTACAAAAGAAACTCTCATTAGCATAGAATCCCATTCTGGCACTCACACTGCTCGTTTGTGAATAAGGCTGTAGATGGCATCCCACCACTCCCTCTGTCTGTCAGTGGTCAAGAGGCGGAGCAGAGGAAGAGGAAGGCAGCGAGGCTCAAAGAGCTGCTGCTGTTGCTGGTTCATGCTACTGCTGATCTTTGCCTTCTCCTGAAGCTGGCAGTGGCTACAGAACACCACACCGTATAAAAACACCTGGAAGGATAAATATGCGAATAGTTATTGGGCAATAATACCCAGATAATTACACCAGACAATAAATAACCCACATCTGTCTATAACCAGCTGCCACCAAGCCAGCTTACCTCCAGGTCCAACAGGCAGATTGACTCAGGTGCATTTGTGTCTAGTTTTGATGTCTCAAGTGTAAGTCTTGGAAAGAGCTGCTGTAGCCAGTCCCGCATGGGAGGTCTTCGGCCCAGAAGAGCCCACTGCAGGCCCAACCAGCTTAGATGCTGCAAGTCACCGCGATGCAACAGGATGGAGCCTATGGAGCATGTGGCGTGTTTACTACTGTGTCATCACTCCGTGTTATTTGAATACTTCAGGCAGATTGAAATTATCATAGGTTTGTACCAGTGTCCCACTTGGCCAGCTGAGAGACCTCCGGCGCCATGGCGTTAACGTATCGTATGTCATCATTAGCAATAAAGGAGGATCCAGCCGAGGCCTGTGGGCCCCAGAGGAGTACATACAACGAGTCCTGACCACTGCGGTTCCCAAACGCCTCCACCACCTAAACACAGAAAAAGGTTTTTTATTCCCGTTTCTACCATCAGAACCAAAATGAATGCATCAGTGGAATCCACTAAGCCGATATGATGAATGGCTTATTAACAGCATGAACAATATTTGCAAAAACAGAAAAAAAGCTCAAGTTTCACATGTGCATTCCTGTTAAATTACAGTGGTAGCACTAATAACCAACCTCTCTGATTAAAGCTGGCAAATCAGTGCTCAGATTGAACAACATATGCCCAGCCTGACTCTGGCGGTCATTGGCCAGCAGCTCCAGAAGCTGTGGGGCTGACTGGTCCCTTTTGGTCCCTTTTGCCTTCGGTCTGGGGACCTGATCGATGGAAAAACAAAGCACGGTGAAAAGCTAGGACAGTTTTCCCCAAAATAAAACCTCTAAAAAGACAAAGAACAGACTAAATGGAATGAAGACGGCACAATGCATCCAAGAGCAGATTTCTAGATAGTTACAGGGAAAAGTTGAGCTTTTACTAACAGGACGGGTTAGTGAGAGGGTACCTGATATGCTAGCAGTAAACAGAGAGTAGCATGGTCGATAACAGCCCTCCAGTTCTGTTGCCGCTCCTGAGCCATTTTCATTAGCAGTGTGGCAGTATGCAGGTAGAGGTGACCCTTCATCTCAGCAAACACCTCAAAGAGATCGTCTGTGTGGCGGCTGGCATCTCTGCTCAGCGTCTGCATCGCTTCGTCAAAACTGCACATGAAGATACAGATGATGTTTCTTGGAACTATGCAAATATATATCAACTAAAGAGCTAAACAATATATTTCAATGTTTTTCTCATAGGTCAAAATACAGAATAGAATGTTACACCTTTGATGAAAGTGTAAACCAGGGATGCATGTCATTCAAATTAAAAGCAGTTGTTACACTTCATCTCAATGACTTGTCCATTAACTAAAGAGTCAAAAGAATCCAACCAATTAAAAGGTAGCATTGATTATTTAACACCTTTTATATTGGAGCAAATTAGATTTAATATATAGTGCATTTTTAATTAATATAATCAACCACATTAGACATGACCCACCTTCTTAGTGCATCCAGGTTTAACTGCACACTGCTCTCAGACAGCTGGAGTCTCAGCAGGTTGCCGTGTGCCAGCAGAACTTCTCTCTGGAGACGCCGACTCATTTTTTCATTACTAGAAACGCTGGGCTGAGCCAGATACTCCTGAGACACAGACCACATATTCTTAAGAACCTTTCTTAAATCAAAACAGAATATCCAACCATTTTCTTTCAGTCCATTTTCTTACTCTGAGTGGTGTTGCAGGATGCCAGTCAAACACAGAGCAACACAGAGAGAAATGAGACAGACAACCACACACACACACACACATTTCTCCTACAGGCAATTAAGAATCACCAATGAACCTAACATGCATGTTTTTGGACTTTGTGAGGAAGTCAATGAAACCTGGAGAGGACCCACACATACATGGGAGGAGCATGCAAATTCCTGACGGAAAAAAAGTACTTAAATTGGACAGAAAAGTTCAAATACAAAAAAAAACTATCTGCCTTGATAAAATATCCTTCCACTCTACTCCTTCAATACATATAAATTTTGCTCTGACCTGTAATGTGCGCAAAACCAGGGTGTACCAGTCCAGACTGTGGCGCAGCAGGCCCCTTTTTTCAGTAGCGAGGCAATGCTTAACGGCCTCCTCCAGCCGGCCATCCTGACAGAACAGCTGAACTAACTTCACATTCACATGGGCGTCAGCTGGCCGGGCGGCAAGCTCAGCCTGGAGAAGATCGAACAACTGGTTCCAGCCCTGCTGGCCCTGACAACTTAACAGACGCTCCTGTGTCAAAAAGAACATAACATCAGTCACATTTGTCAGAAAAACATAATCATTAGAAATAACATTCAATAGAGTCGAACACTGCAGTCCAAACTCTCAGCCATTTCTAAAGTACATGCCCAAGCAGGATTGAACTGTTTGTATGTTGACAGCAAATATGTGGAAGATTTAAAAAGACTTTCACCTTTAAATTGAAGACTGCTGGATTCCCCGGCAAGAGCTTTGCAGCTTTCTCCACCCAAAACTCTGCCCTGCTGTCAGGTTCCTTCTTATCAACAAGTAATTCTGCCACTTTCAGCACCAAGTCCTTCTGCGCTGGGTTCAAGTCCACTGAGCGCTATGTTAAAACACAGTTGAAGAGTATATTGAGACAACTCCTTGACCTTTTTTAAATTTAAGGCTTGGTGATTTTATACAAAAAAGACAACAAATCAATTGCAAACACATATGGCCCTTTTCGGGATTTCCTTCTAGATTGTGCCAAAAAGGATTACTATTAAGAGTTCTCCATCAGGATTTATTGGGGTGATCACCCAAAGCCGACTCACAATACCAACCACCAGGCCAATTTCAGGCTTAAGATGAATTCAGTTAGATTAAACTGATTTCGTTTACAGCTAAATGACATGTTCCTTGTACCTTGTAACATCCCACGGCCTTGTTGATGTCCCCCTCTCTCTCGAAGAGCTGTCCAAGGAATTTGTGGGCTTTAGGATCCCTCTCCTGCACTTTGAGGTACTCTGAAACATGCCTGAGAGGAGCATAACACATATATCCTTATGTCAGGTGGACTTAACATTTGGTAAAAATAAGAGGATTATAAACTTACCTTTTTGCAAGGTCATATTCTTTCGCTTCAAAGTACAATTTAGCAAATAGAAATCCTTTGACTGGCTTCTGTGGAAAGAAAACATACCACTGAGTGCTGTCCCACACAACTGCTGCAACTCATTAAACTGAACACCACCTTGACAAAGATACCTGCAGGGTTACAGCGATTCTAATATTTGAGACAGACATTTTTATTCCACCAGACCTGAATTTGTGTTACAGATCTATGTGTTGCGAGGAACAGCAACATACCAGCCCAAAGTTATGTTTTCACATGTTGGTTTGACTCAAATTATAAGAAAGCACTGCTAGTATAACCTCTTTCATCGATTGACATCCTAGACAAATGTGCACAATTGCATCCCAACACACACCAAAACACACTAAAGGTATTTAGCAGTAGTTCTGTTTATAGAGTCTGATTACCTTCATTTGCCAACGAACATAGAATTTATAATACTCCGTAAACTTACTGGAAATGCTCTAGTATTGACCTCCGTCAGTAACGAAAGACTACGTTTTCACAGAGTCCAAAGGTTATTTTTAAAGAAACAAGTAAAAGAAACAATAGCTGTTTAAGAACAATGCTATGTCTCGAGGCTAGCTAGCTGGTGCTACTCTAACAAACCGCGCATTTCCGAACATGAAGTGAATGACGCGACCAGGCGTCATGAAGCCGGTTAGCTAATATCCACTGGTTAGCTACTGAACACATTTACAAAGAATCCTGTACTGTCAGATATCTCATAAATTACAGTTATAATCGTCGTGTCCTTATTGTGTTTCCAAGTTTATTAGTTTCGCCAGTTAAATGTTGTGACATGCTGGGCTGACATAATGGCAGGAGCACGCTAACATTAGCCGTGGACTCAACTTACCTCTTTGAGTGAAGGAGAGGAACTCTGTACTGACGAAACGTAGCGGTCCACTTCAGCCTTACTCCGCCGCATGGCTTCAAATGTCATACGGCTCTACAATGGCTGACTGCAATGCAAATAATAACACGAGTTCACGAAAAAAAATGCTTTAAAAGCACTGACATTAATATCAGCCCGTCCGTCTTTCCGTCACGTTAACTCCCATGATGGTAATGCGCAGTCTCATTACCATCAAATGGCAGTGAGTCACGTGGTACGGGCCCCGCCTTCAATCGGTGTCGTTAACCAATGAAAGCTGAGTATTTCCTTTGACGTACATTGACTCACTGCATTTTGAAAGAAGGCTGGTGGCTGGCGTACAAAATGTTTAATGTGCTGTAAACATATAGTTTAAACGAACATCACTTTTTCTAAATAATTTTAATAATACGTAAATGTGTAAATAATTTAACAACTTCTCCAGCCATCTTTGCTCCTTCGTTGTTTGTGGTTCGGTTTCGTTTCAGTGACGTATTGATGTCACAAGTAATGAGCTCACGCTTTGTCCTGGAACGGTTCAAAGTATGTGTTAAGTGTAGATAAAGATAGATAATCCCATCCTAAAAAAATGTTTCTTCTTCGTCTTATTGTATACCATTGAACAGGTAAAACATGCAAATTAATTACACTGACTAAGGTAAATAAGTAATGCACCCTGCTAGCATTTGAGGAACACTTTTTCTCAGATGAACTTAAAAATGGAGAGGATAAAATACCTTTTTTTGCCTGAGTCTAGATGTATGATTTCCTATGTTATAATAAAAAAGAAAATATAAAGGGGAGTCTGCTGATGTTAAATTATATTTTTTGGTTTGGGTTTTGGGTTAATACTACTTAAGTTTTGTCTCACAATGATAAGCCAACATGATAAAAGAAATGTGATATCAACAAGCAATTTATGGTCAGAGAGTTTCGTAATGCGTTTTTTTATAGAAATTCTTTGAAAAAATGTATTTTCCTCATAAAATACGTTAAACATTTAGACTTTTTGGGAGCAGGAGCAGTTGGCTTTCTGTCTTAAATGGGTCTGAGCCCTGAGGAAGCTGGTATATTTTCTTAAGAGGATCACTTTCTCTGGATTAGAAATAGCATGGGCAATGCTCTAACACTTAAAATCACACCCACACCCGGTTTCAGCACATGCCGCAATCCATTGTGTTGCAACACAACAGAGTAAACACTTATACAGCTTATTTTGCCCAGTATTTGTTGAAAACACTTTGGAGGGTAGTCCCAGCACTGAAGATAAAATGCTGAATTAGATTGCAGCATGACTGGCTTCAGTTCTTCTGTGTTTGTAAATAAGAATAGAGTCAAATAGATATAAACCCAGTAGTATAAAATAGATATTTATTTCAGAGCTAAATTTGATGATTTCTGTTAATTTATATAAATCTGAAAAAAATTAACTGGTGGCTTCATACTAGGATGCACCTATTGGCACATAGTGTTACATAGGTCTGCTATATCCTGTAACAAGATAAACAAACATGTGGTAGATGGTTCCTTTATTGTAACACAAGACACAACAGCATAAATTACTGATGCAAAAATTATTTGTAACTTAAAAGAGCCAAACTGCATGGTTTTGCATTATTAAAGAAAATACAAACTCATTATACAACAAATGCTGGAAGAAAACATTAGGCGGTGTGTATATGTTCAATATAACAATACAAACAATACAATCTCCTGGTTTTCCTTTAGCTCAGTTAATTCATATAGAAATGTAGCAGTAATATAAGTGAAAGAGTTGTTTTTTTTGGTTAATTTTTCCAGACAGTTTATATTTAATTTTACCTATTAAAGACCAAATGTTATTAAATATAGGACCATTATCATATACTTATACATATTATCGATCAAGCAGTGACATAAGCAAATATATATATATATATGAAAAACAGTGCAGCATTTACGAAAAAGGCACTCAGGCTAAATTTCTATGTCCTGACTAAACTTTCAAGCCATCAGTTTCAGGAATATAAAGTTCAGGCAGCGCTTTCCAGCAGTGAACGGCAGGACTATAAGTGATGCAAACCTAAATGTAACAAAAACCACATTCATTCCATCTGAAATGATAGTGGTGGGCACGAGAATGGCCACCCCACCAGCTTCTTTTTTCCTCTCAAGCTGCTTGCTGGGCTTTATTTCCGTGCAACAGTTTCAGATAGCTTCTTCAGCCTTTTCTTCAGCTCCAGGGGAAACTTCTCATAGCACTTCTTGCACACGGGTTTCATGTCAAACTCCACAAACTTGTTCCTGCAGTGGAAAACAGATGTAAACTGGAAGGTAGCTCATTCAACCTCATACTACAGTTCAATAACAATCATATATCTGGCAGCATGATACAAGGTTTGGTAACTTGCTGCTTTATGGCTCGATGCTGGCACCAAAAGCTTATTTATCAAACTGTCACAAATCCGCCTTAACAGCAACACATAGTAACACGTTGAACTGAATGTGTGTTGAACTGAGGGGGACTTGTGAAAGTTCAATGCCGATTACATAAAGAAGCATTCTCAGTTTTGGTTTCCGTCTCCGTCCAAGAAAATTACAACTCACAAGCTTATGTGTAGAATGGTTTTCTGTATGCATGCCAAATGACATCAAGACTCATGCTCTGCTTTTGACCTTTTAAGCAACACAAATGTTATTTCGTTTGTTTCCATTTCCAGCAGGACAGTTATATTTCTGGGTTTTTCTTTATCATATTATTTTTGAGCATGAAAATGTTTTCAAAAAATAAAAAATTCATACTCTTAATTTTCAACAAATTCATGTCTAGATTCCAAAAAATTCCTCACTGTGTGCGATGAGATATGATTACACTAAGATTCAAATTCTTAATTTCTTGTAAAATGTTGGCAGAACGCCCTAAGTACTTAATTCACGAGATTCTGTTACAAAGCAAGCCAATGCTGCCAGGACCACGTCATAGAGGAGGACCCTCTAGATTTCCTCAGCTCAGACCAAACAGCAGCCGGAAGTGATTATGTCTTTACGCCTTACACCAGACAGACTGAGAGAACCAGGAAACAAAGCTTTCCCTTCAGCCTGTGACTGATCTGATTTTCTTATTTGTATAGCAAGTGCCAGCCTAAATCCTGATCGCCATTTCCTGCTCAGAGGTCACGTGCTGAAGCATTTTACGCATTAGGCCACTTAAGATCTGTTGGGTTCATTTCTGTTCACCAAATAAATCTCGGATTTTACCGTGATTTGTAATAAAGTTGGCATGAAAAATGAAAACAGAAAATAAAATAATAAATAAAACAGACAAGAAAGGTTGAAACTGACCAAGGTAGGAAATGTTGAAGTGAGGAGAAAAGAGAAAGAGGGGGTCACAGACACATGGGTATCAACAACTTCTTCTTTTTTTCTTTGGAATCACGTTCGCGCTTGGCCAGCCGCCGCTTCATGTCATCTGGGAGGCGTTCATAGCAGTGTTTACACACCGGTTTCAGATCCACCTCCACAAACTTATCCCTGACAGAGCAGGGAGGAGGCAGAGGGGTGTGAAGGAGGATGATAGGAGGAAAAGGGGTAGATGGAGAAGGAAAAAAGAAACAGAGTGATAAGATGTGAGCAGATGTGGAGGAGAAATGGAGGAAGGTGCAAAGAAAAATGAATGAGAAAAGTGAGAATCAGGAAAAAATATATGACTTAGAAAGTTGTGAAAGATACATGGCAGACCACAGAGAAAATAATTTGAGGCTTATTTAGATTCAGAAAGTATAATCTATTCAAAATGAGAACACGAGACAGATTGACAAGTGTAAACTATGAACCTAAAGTTAAACTTACTTGAGGGTGAGCTTTGTATTGCAGGTAGAGCAGGCAAAACAGTTGACACACCAAGCCTTGTTAAGGGCTGACACCACTAAAAAACACATGATTTCAGTCACAGGATGCTTTTTTTAACACAATTATTTCAGCTAAGTGCTGCACTTCTAATAAGTATTGAGAAACACAGCATCAAAAATGTTTTAATAAAATTCAAAAGTCAATGCATTTCGTGTATTTTTCTAAAAACATCTTTTCTCACCATCTCCTTCAATGACGCGGTTGCAGTGGTAGCAGACATCTCCAAACAGCTGAGTGTGATGATGGGAAAGAAGCAGAAGATTAGAAATGAAGCTACACGTCCTATCGGCTCCACTTGAACAGCCTTCACTGCACAACATGCTGGGTTGACAAGTCATGGACGCAAACACAGGCTGCCGGCTACAAGGTATCCTGGTTATTTACAAAAACCCTTTTATACAGCATATGACACTAGAGGGAGACATTACACTGAATAAATAAACGGCAAATACTGAATTTGACCAGTTATTAGTTTGAATAAGTTCATTATATAATCCTGCTGTAATGATGGTGTTTGTAATAGTGCATGATGAGTGTGTCTATATCAACAATATATTTATCTGTGTACACAGATTCTGGTCCCATGTTGTCCACTTGTATAACTGTACTCATTGTGGACGATCAGAATAAATTGTGTTACCTGGTTGTAGTGCGTTTCGCAGTAGGCCAGGCCCTTGCGCTCGTAGTGACGGTGTCCCAGGAAGGGTTTCTCACACTTAGCACACACAAAATGCTGCAAGCAAACCCGAGGCCAAGCACACATGGTTAGCACGGCCATCAGTCAGTTTGTCAGAACACTCAGACCGTGCAGAGTCTGGCTCAGACATCATCAGGTCAGAACACAACCACATCAGTTTAGTCCAGATGTGCTACTGCTGCTGCTGCATCCACACAGACCGGAGAGGGGGCGGGGCAAAGAAGTCACCTCAACTGACTCTGCTAATCTACTAAAACCCTATGAAAACATTTAAATGTAGGGTTGGGCAAATAAAAAAATGCTTTTTTTTTTCTTTTTCGAAGAATCCTTTTTGAGTGACGCAATTCACAGAAAGGCTTACAGCTGTTTTGAATTGTAAAGGAAGATTTTGATGGGAGACACGTGTACATTTTAAAAGAAAGGGAAACAAAACTATTTTAAGAAGGTTTGGGAGAGTATGATAAATCACTAAAACAGTAATCATTTGTCAGCAGTTCACTGTTTTAATTTAAAGACCAACCAGTGAACCAGTGTTAGTATGACCACTGTATGGAGGCTAGCAGAGTGAAGCCAGGCAAAGGGTGGACAAGGGTGGCACTCAACATCCGGCTGATCCGTTATTGCCTCACCATGTCAAAATGTCTCTCACAATAGGCACGGCCGCCTCGTTCATAAAATGGGTGGCCCTGAAACGGGCGCTCACACACAGTACACACATGATGCTACATGTGGGGAATGGAAAACAGGAAGATGGACTTCAAATAAGAAAAGACAGGAGAAGAGATGAAGTAAAATAACCAACACTAACAGATGACGAGATCAAGATATAGCTAGTCAAATTAAAATGATGCATATTATAATGCATATTATAATATTATAATATTATAATGGACTCATATTCAAAATATATTATGTTTTAAAAGCATAAAAATGATTTCAGCTTTCCAATCGTACCATTTGGAATAAAGTGATTCTTTGTGGAGAATCCATGGCAGAAGTATTGTACAAAATTTTTGTGTTAAGAACAAAGTAAAAAACAAAACAAAAGTGCATTATTTAGATACACAATTTAAGGTATGATACCAACAAACGAGTTCACATCCTATAAATCGCACCTCCACATGCCACTGCTTTCCCATGGCGTTGACCACGCGTCCCTCGATGGGTCTCCTACAGGCCCCACAGATGGGCACCCCCATCTTGTCGTGGCATGGCAGACAGTAGAGTTCTCCCTTCAGTTCCCGGGCATCAGCCGTCAGCTCTTTACTGTAGAGGAAGAGGTAATCACAGTGATCTCACTCCATGCTCATAGATTTTTTTTCCCACAAACACAATACCACATAATCAAATTATTTCATATGCATGTATCGTATTCAAAGAAATAGCTTAAAAATCATAATATTCTGACCGAATGTGACAGGATCTGTATTTTAGACTCGTGCCCATAGCTACAGTGACTTAATTTGCCCAGCAGAGAGCAATGTTAGGTCCCAAGCTCATCATTTTGGAAAAGAGAGAAATGGCTGCTGTGTATTTGAGTGTAATTGAATAGACGAAGCACTTGGAAAACAATGATTTCTGAGGCATATGAAATGAGAAGAAGATACAGCATACGATGATTGTTAATCTTCCTCTAATAATCACTTGATTATTGATCCAATAACTAGCACAATTACTGTCCCCGGGCAATCATTTTCAGTGCAGCCGTTCCAGTGTGAACCCAGCACAGTTTCGCTTTGTCTGCAACCCAGTAAATCCAACTGCAGCTGGGTGTGCTCTCAAACCTGCTCGGGCAGCTATGTGGATGCTGGTTTACCCGCAGTTGTTGCAGTTGAAGTGATCAGGATGGTAGGGGTCATTCTTAAACAACAAGGGCTGCTCATCGATGATGGCGTGACACTTCTGACAGATGTACTTTCCCAGGCCCCGGGCTTTCTCTTTGTTGTGACACGGGCGGCACAGGTGCCTAACAGGAAAGACAAGGGGACAGAAGGAGGGACAACAACGTGAGTACAGTACTTAATCCACAAAGTTGGATCCTTATGCTTTCTAATATATTTCTCCTTTCACCTGTTGAGCTATATCAAACAATGAGAAAGCCAAAATCCAAATGGAATCTTGTATTGATATAGAAATATGACCAGTCTGATCAGGATCTAATAAAAAACTATAAGCAGTGACATGATGGTGAATGAGTCTAACAGGACTGACCGTCCGGCATTTTTAACAAATCCAACATCAGCGAGCACAGCCTGGCAGAGATCGCAGCAGAAGCAGTCCGGATGCCAGCTGTTGTTCATCGCCTTGATCACCCGTCCAATAATGAACTCACCTGAGAGAAGAACAGTTGTTTAATGAACACATGAAATATCGATCTTGGTTTGGAAACTGCAGTCTCTTTTAGTTGTATGACCGTAACCAGTTGGAAGTAAGAGAAGAAAATAGATATACTCACCACACTGGTGACAACAAGGAGCAAACAGCATCTGGAAGTCATGCTCACAGTACTTCCGTCCTTCGAACTGTTAATGCAACAAAATGCATGCATTAAAAAAAATTATTTAGACATTTATTGGTGGACATTTTGGGAGAGTTTCTTGTAGGTAGGAGGGCATTCAAGATGTGTGAAGCACTTTTTGCCTGCGTGCAAACATACTGTATCCACAGTGTGGAAAATCCTGCAGGCAAGGCTGACTCGTATTTGACTCTTAAAAACAACCGTAACTACTCGGATTTAGCTCCATTTAAAATCTACAGTCCCTGACTTTCAAATTTTCAACATTGATTTCAGGTTTTAAATATTCAATGTTCAAAAGAATATATATAAAAAACTATCAATAAGAAGAAAATAGAACTAGGTATAGTAGATTTAAAAACATATGTGCATTTTGTATGTGTGTGTTTAATAATTAATAATTGCCTAGTGGGTTAAAGAAAAGCCATTAAAGCATGGCTTTTTATAGCTTTACAGCCAAAGGCAGAATGACTTCCTGTGGATTTTAGTGTAATAAACATAGAATTTATATAATCATTTGAATGTGTATTCATAGGACTCAGTGGTGGGCCGTCAGGGCCTTCAAGGCCTTCTCTGAAGGCCTAAGAAAATATCTGAATCACAGACTGATGTTAATTATATTTTGTCCATGAAAACTTAAATTAAATATCTCTAAATAGTCTGTCAGCTTCCTTTCATAGCTTTCCCCCTGGTTGCGCTGCTTCCAGACATGTATTTTCACATAAAAGCATTTAACCAATCACATTTCAGACATCCTCTGTCGCTAGGCAGGGTCAAAGTCAAAGATGGCTGCCAGGAGGCCTTCACAATCCGTTCTGCAGGCCCCCCCCCACAGAAAATACATGTCAAGTACATTGTTGCTTCAACCAATCAGATTTTAGGTTGGTGATGCCAGGGCCTGCGCGAAGGCCCCGGAAATGCCACCGTACCCACACCCGCTGATTGGATAGTCAGATATCCAATCAGGGCAAAGCTAGCAAACAAACCGAAATATAGTTGTGTTAGTGTAATAGCTATTTTATTATTTCGTGGCGGATTTATTGTCAAGACCATTTTCAAAACGGACTTTTCAAGAAAATTAAGTGAGTAAAATGTTTTTTTCCTAAATAATATTGCGAGTTTATGAGGATATTATTGATGTATTTTTATTTTGTTTTTGTTTGTTTTTTTGGGGGGGGGGGGATCGCAGCTGTAGCTGCAGGAGTAGAAGACTTGTGCAGTCCTGATCTTTAGACTGTATTTTAGGCTTGTCCTGATCCGATATTTGGATCGTATCGGCCGGCATGAGAAAATGCCAGATACATTTATTTTTAAAAGTCCGATCCCACCCGAGCATTAGCATTAGCATCTGTAACCCACAGGTCTGTGTAAACTTTAGTTGTTATAAATCCCTGTTCAACATGAGTCTCTCAACTAAGTAAGTAGAAAAAAAAATTCAATTTTAATACAAAAAGCTGGATCGGGACATCCCTACTGTATTTCTACATAATAAGATGATTTCTATAACCATAAAATAGTTATTGAGGGGTGAATTGATTCAGACGGAGCACTACTGAAGGCCTAGGTGTGAAATGCACGGCCCGCCACTGATAGGACTAAATACAACTTGAAAATAAAAGTTTTAAATCTCGGACTTGAGGTTTATATTGATTTGAGGCATAAAAACACCTTTAACTGACCAAACTAAAAGCCTCAGGATATCAGGGTCTTGTCAGAAAGACGTCCGACCTTATTTCAAGGACCGCAAATGGGCAGTTTCCTGGTAGGGAGCTTCTAACAGTTCAATACCGCATTAAGGCTGTAGCTCAGCCTTTTTTTTTAGTTTCAGCTGGACTGACTGCATTTTCGATGATGGCAACAGGAACACCGGCTACTTTTATCTTTGCAGAGCAGCTTCTGAGCTAATGGGGTTAAATTTCCTGCAACCACACAGACCCGTTGACACGCAGTTTAACATCAACTGTGCGTGTCACTACACAAGTGGCTCTGAGTAGCCCTGACAGGGTCTGCACTTCACAAACAGGTGTCGGTTGTAAGTCTCTGCCCTGAAATGTGTTCACTCCGATGACTTACTGCGGCACGGGTCTTTATTCGTCAATGAAAGAATGGGGTATTTACCTCGTAGAAGAGCCCCTCTGGGAACTGCTGGAAACACTGGGCGCAGACAAAGCACTGCTCGTGGTAGAGCTCCCCGTTGCTGTTCACTATTTTCTCGGCCGGGGCAAAGCCACTCTTGCAGCGCTCACACATGGCATTGGCCAGTGCGTTGGCCATGTTGCTGAAAGAGAAAAAAAGCTGAGTTAAAAACAGTAATAGATCTTCACATGTTAATAATAAACCCAGCATGTGAAATAAAAAGTCACTTAAATAAGTGTCACTTCAACAAATCGTTCAACACCGTTATAACAAGTCCATTGTCTTAATTTATCTAAATGTAGTTTAATAGTTTATTTGTTTCTGATTATGTCATAAACTATCTTTAACCAACCATATTCTCTTAACCCTTGATTTGAACCGTAACTGCAGTCTGAGTACCGTCAAATAAGTGACATGTCACAAATATTTTACAACCAGTTACCTTGTTTCCCACATCGTGGTAACAGCTGGAGGATTTAGTCAGTAAAAGGAAACAGCAGAGTAGGAAAATGTGATGTAAGAGGTCAGAAACCCACACAAACAATCTTGGTTTCGGGTTTATTTTGGCTCTGGCTATCAGGGTGTGGGGATCACTTAGGTGGGAAATGTTTGAGTTGTCTTTTGGAATACTTCCAAACTGTGTGAGAACAGGCACAAACATGGTTTTAGGGGATTTTAACAACATTTAAAAAACCTACGACATACTCTAAGAACTAATGATGCAATGAAAAATAGAAACCTTGAGCTGGTATATGAACCTGATTTAATTTTTTTCATGAGCAGTCAGCTACCTCACTGCAAAGCTCAAAAGCAACAAACCAATGGCCTCTGATTTAGCCAAAATGTTGGGAAAAATAGACAGCACCTGCTCCTTATTTCCAAAGCAAAAAGCAATGCAATCTGATAGCTGTACACACTGTTCACAACATCAGCAGAAGTGTGAACCAGTCCGATCACAGGGTTTGGGATTTTGAGAAAAAGCTTGTGCACTGTCATGTCAACACCGTTCATAATTCGTTCAACATGCTTCCACCCAGCTGGGATTCATTGAACTTGATTTTTTTCACATTATTTTTTATCAATCATAAATACTCTGTTTAAAGAGCTAATATGTTACATATTTATCAGAAAACTAAAAGCAGCTGAGAGTAATGTTTTAATGAAAAATACAGAAGAAGGAATAATGAAAGGGGAATCCTGGCTTTGATATAGTCTTTTAAAGGTATCAAGGCAGCAACCACGTGTGCACAAATGCAACAAGATCTTTAGCCAGTGCCATGTGTTCAATATTCTAATTCACACCAGATTGGGAAATAGAAAAAAATAGAAAAAAAACAGATGAATGATACATGATTTTCAGTTCAATCTCATCGGGGGGACACAGACCATAAGAGGCTGTGGAGTGGAGATGTGTCCGTTAAAAGCAGAACATGTTGGAGCAAGATGTTTCAAGACTTATCAGATACATATTGTTTTATGTGCCCCTGCCCCTGGACTGATATCAAACACACTCAGCCCTGCCCTGTCTAGAGGATTTGTGGCAGGAAGTGATACATCCCTCAGGCATTTCCACCATTCTATCTGCTTCGAGCACCCTGATTCATGAGGCAGCCTACAGTCGTTGACCTGGGGGAAAAAATGTTTTATGCCATTAAACTTAATGCCAGTGCTAGCTCTTGCTGTTTTCTGTGGCTCATACGGTCACATACATCCAATACATTTGGAACCTGTTCAGTTTTTTTTGGCATGTGTGCCTGCCGACATGAAATAGTGTGTCAGAAGGGTTCTTATTGATTGGAAAATTCTGGAGAGGTATCTTGGATGACTATACAGGTTTCAAGAACCTGTCTTGTTAGTACAAGTCTCCAGCACATCAATACTGTTTTCCCCTCCACTGGGGCAGATGCTGCGTGGATTTGCACCTAACAGAAGTCTAAACGACAGAGTGGAAAACATCTCGGCAAACATTTACCTGTTCAGTTCACAACTGGGGTTTAGACGGACAGCTGGACTATTGATTTAGACGTTTGCCCACTCGTGTGCAGCTACTGGACACAGAGAGGTCGTCTACTGGACAGGTTAGTTAGTGTAATGTGTAAACAACACCTAGTATTTAATGGCGTTTCCTATTTACTTTAGTTTCAAAATCAGTTATCAGGCCTCTGCTTTTTTAAATCCAACATATGACTCGCCATTGAACCAGACCATGTTGGCCTTTGACTATAAAAGGAGTTTAGTTGTCACAAAAGGGACAGGATGGAGACTATGAGCTATGTTATGAATACTTTATGTACCCTCCCCCTGTCCTCTTGACCTCTTTGGTCTCCACTTGTCTTCAGATCATCACATTTGATACACTGCAAACAGAAAACTCTGAACATACCAAGAGTAAAGGCACTCTGAACAACATTTCTTTAATCAGCGATGGGTGCCTGACATCTTTATATAGTGAGTGATCGAAGGATGCTGCTTTCTTTTTTCCTTTACTGTCGCATCAGAGTCCAAATCAGCCGATACCAATTTTTTTCTTCCCAGCGTCCCATCCAGGATCTGTGGGTGACTGCTTTCCGACACAGCATGACGAACCCAGATCAGTCAGAAATACATGATGTATATTTAGCCTTCCTGTCTCTCAAGCACACATACTTCAAATGCCAGCTGGCATATTCTACTTTGCATAACAACTCCCCCCGTGGCACAAAAATAACCCCTCCTGTGCATTCCCTCCCGGAGCGCTCACAGCAATCCCTTCACAAACATGGCACCTAAGGCAGCTTGAGCTAATCAAACTGGCTGCTGAAACTCAGCCTCAAGTAGATGAGGATTCTTCACATTCTGCAACACTGCAGTCAGCCCAGAGGAAATTGAATTCCTGAAAGCTCCTTCCCACCATAGTGCACCATTTTTTCCTGACTGACACCAGCTTAATTGGCAGACCACTCACAAAAATCTATTATTTGTAATATCGGATTGGATTTCAATGGTGGGGAAAAGCCTTTAATCATACAACCCGAGCCACGAATCAACAGTCCGAGCCTTATGATACTCCCTCATGGATCCCAGATAGGTGAGGAATGTTTTACTGAATGCCTCACAAGCTGCTGAGGGAAATCTCATTGTCTTAACAGTGACCACATATCAAAGATCCAGGACCGACTTCGCTACTTACAGGCTTTCTAAGCATTTCAGGCCACAGTGAACCACAGGGTTTGTTGTTCTCTACTTACAAGCGAGCATAAAAGTCACAAAACTCCTTATAGACTTTGACGTCACTCTTTCGTCTTTGGGACTTGGACACAGGGACCTCATCCTCTCCGCCATCACCACTCTGAAACCTCTGGTGGTAGCCATTCAGCTCTCCTTGATGTATGTGATCTGGGGCTTCGCCATCCTCAGGTATTGATGGCGGCAGGGCACGGCCGTTCATCTCGATTTTTTTGTCCGGAGCAGCCCAAGTTCACCCCAGAAGTCGGTATAAAGCTTGAACCAAGCAACTGCTATCGGGACTCCTTCCGCTCCTGTAAAAAAATCCTCTCCTCTGTGATGGTTCAGTGTGGTTTTCCAGCACTGGGAATGCGGCAGGCAGCGAAAGCTGTAATCCACATTACAAGACAGAGAACCGATCAGGCTGCGCTGGGAGTTCTCGCCCTCCCACCCTCTTTCTCTCTCTCACACACACACACGCCCTGGCTGCTAACGGACACACTCCCTCTTTCTCTCATTTCTCCATCAAGTCTTTTTTTCCTTCTCTCTCCACTCCGAACACCTCCCCTTCGGTCACTCTTGCTGTCTATTCTTGGGCAGGTTACTGAGACTGAGGAGACCAGGCTGACGCCTGTGCCGACCGAGGTCACTGTGTCACACACACATACACACACACAACACACACACACACACACACACACCATTCACAGATAAACTTACAGACGCCTGACATCATTTTCAAATGTTTTGCACCGCTCACACACACACACACAGTCTTTGCTTACTCTCTCCTAATCTCCATCTTTCTATGCGTGCGTTAAACAGCTGGAAGTCATTATATTTAGAAGTGGGAATGCCGCACGGCGAAAGAGGAAAGCTGGAGGAGTCCGACAACAATAACAGGAACAGAACAATACAGACTGAGTGCTCGTTCCATTCCTTGTTAGACATTAGCAAATAAACACTCAACGGCAACAATTTTAAGCACCCAAATGACGTGTTTGGAGATTTTTTTTTTTACGTGTGTAGTCAACACTGGTTCTAAAATCTGAGCCTTGACACTAATCTGAGGCAGAACTGCCGCGCAGCTGATTTCACCTTTGCAGCATTAGTTGTACATTCACCTACAAAGCAGGGCATTGAAAATAGAGTTTAGCATGTGACGACTGGCATGTTTGGCCTGATCCCCACGCTGCGTTCAGACTGGCCGGCTGGTTTGGGATCTCTCACTTCCCGTTCACCATTCCCCAAACACACCTTTAAACCCATTCTTGCGGACATTAAGTGATTAGTTCTGGACCGCTTACTTCTGCCTGTGAAGGACCAGGGCTGGATTCAAACCACTCTGACACAGTGGTCAGAGTAGTATTGAACCGAACAGCCGGAATATCATTTAAGACATATTTCTTAAGATAAACAACTCCGGAATAAGCAAATCGTTAAAAATGCTAATCTTAGACATTCCCGTTGACTCCAAAGGTGCCTCTCTCTTGGGTCAGTCATAGCCATTTGTGTGGTTGTGTGGTCCAAAGACATAAAAAAAACACCAGGCCGGACTCTGGACATACACTCCAGTGAGACAAACAAATCTGACACTTCAATCGACATAAGGAATTAGCAATAAATGCTCGGGTCAACGGCGCAATCTTCTGGATCCGCATGTTTAAAAACTCCAGCTGAAACATGTCTTAGGGTTCCTCAGTAAAACAGTCTTCATGACTCCATTCTACAAATAGACGGCCAGTGGAGCCTCAGCTCCAAACTAGGTGCTGGCAGCTGCTGTTCTGTGTCTGTGTGTGTACATGCATGTGAAAGATTGTGTATACAGACAGGCCAGCTCTGAAAGGGTTCCCCAAATTGATGAAAGAAGAATGATTGATTTGCATCTTCTAATGAAAAAAAGAAGAAAAAAAAGAAAATCTGTCAAATCTCAATGAGATATTGAAAACGGCGTCTTATTTTGGCACTGAAACATTGACGAAAAGGCATCCGTTACTTACTCTCAGCCCCGCCCCCCCCAGTTTTATCTGGTTTCCATAAAGAAACAGAAAAAACTCAACTGGAAAAGGCACTAGCGGGCATGTCAGCCTCTCCACACAGAAGCGTCTGTAAGTCACATGCTCCGTCACTGGGAACTAGTGCTGAGTGACCCGGGTACAATGGACAGAGGGCGGGTGCCCAACAGGAAACTCTCCTCTTGGTTACTTTTGCACAGTGTTCCACCCTAAAACGCCAACTTGGAAATTTTCTGGCGCCCAGTCCAACACCAAATGGTTCATTTTCCATGAGAACATTTTCGCTCCAGTGCCAGCTATGCTAAAGACGGGCGGGAAATGACCTAAACTAATGCACTTTGAAAATGTTGAATCAGCCTGTGCTAAAGCCAGGGGCTCTGAGTCTTGATTAAACTTGTGCTGTGAATACTGTGGGCTGAAATGACGGACTATACAGGGTTCCTGAGACTGTATCACATAATGGGCGATGTGAAAAACTTTGACAAGTTCAGCATTAAAAACACTCTCTGTGTGTGATAAAGACAGAGATACAGGAATGTCAACCAAAGCTTTAACCTCTCTGGAGTGTTCCCTTTTGGGACTCCCTTTTGGGGCCAATAAAAGTCACTAGAAAGGTCAGAGGTCAGGTCACTGATGCCAATATTTTGAAACGAGGGAGGAAATACGGTATCCTGTTTAAGAGAAGGGTCACAGAGCTGGCCTACATTTTGGATGTGAAGAGACTTAAGAAAAAATAGCTTTGATACCTAGAACAAAATAATAACGCTCACAGCAAAAGAAATATACAGAATCAGAGAGGAGGAACAAGGCTCATCTTGAAACATTCAAAGTAACAAAAGCTGATAGCAGGTCTGGTGGCACAACGCTGTGAAAGGTTACATGTCAGGGGAGACATGCAGGCAAACAGCAGAAATGCACTGGATGCCATAAACAGTTATTTTTATAGCTTGTCTTACTGGCGGCTTAATGGATTCACATACGAGATAGAAATCAAGCACACCCTGGCCACACACCCCTACCAGCAGTGTCAACAGCAACCATAGCAACACACTCAGGAGTGCTGCCTTCATGAGCGTGTGCACTAACAGGCACGCAACTGCACACACACACCAAAAGACGCACCGATTCAATGACTGGGCAAATATAAGTCATGACTAACATTTTCGATTGTTTTGTGACTTGGTCCCAGGGCGTGTTCTGACCTCTGTTATCGGACCCACTTCACTGTCCGGCACAGGAAGAACATGTCGTCCAGTTAGCAGCACATTACCATGCTGTCATGCACTTTGTTAGCTTTATCTTTGCGACCAGACCAGCGCCACAGGTAAAAAACATCTGAGGAGGAGACTGCAGAAAAGAGTTGTCACAAGCACATGTTGAACACATTTAGGTTTGCTTTTGCACGCACGCAGTATTTTACAGCCTCTTTCTGCAAACACACCATCTTTGTTTATCTTAGAGGCGCTCTCTCCAGTTTTTTTTTTAAAGATACTGAACTAAATGTTTCTGATTCAGCAGCATTGCTTTCTTTATCTTTAAATGTTTTATACCTAATACACTATGTTACACACCTCTAAAACTTAATAAGAAAGAAATAAGGGATAATTATTGAAAATGTAAATGTTCGAAACCAGTGTAAATTACGCAAACTGAACTTTTTCTAAGATAATTCATTTATAAATGAGAGAACACTAATGATGTTAAATGCTATACAATCTCCTCCACAGCCTTTATTTTCTCTTTGTTGTGGAAATACAGCCTTTGGGATGACGGCGGGCCGGCATACATCACCACTGCCTGGAGTAAAAACTGCTTTGCATAAGAAATGGCAGCTGAGCCATGAAGTGTTTGCTGGGGACGCCGTTAAAGGAAAAGATCCCCTTTTTTTTTCACTCACCACATTCCTCACATTGCAACATTCCTCTAACCACATCAGGATCACACACACACACACACACACCCAAATGAAAAGAGTCAGATGGAGGTGTGGTGAAAGAGTGGTTTGAAAAAAAAAACTGATGTTATCACTTTGTGAAGACTAATATTGCAAAAGTCCGTTGATATTAGTTGCACAACTCGGAGGATTTCAGTTATCGGACGCAGTCTTTACCGGTCAAATACTCAATAACATTCATCGTTAGTTTTGTGAGCACAGCACACAGGGCTGTATCTGCTGAGGAAGAAGATTTGCTCTGCTACCAGCGTGAAAAGCCTTCTGTTTTTATGCCAGAGGTGTGAATCTGCTGCAGCCATAACAAAGCTGACCAACTAATAACGAACAAACTGCCTCAGAGAGCCGTTAAGGGGGGGGGGGGTTCATTACTGGTCAAATCTTTAAGAGGAAAAAAAGAAAAAAGAGGAAAAATTGACAAGAAAAGTTTGAAAAGTGTCGAGATGTTGACAAAATATCAAAAACACAGGATCCAGTCGGTAAGGTTTTAACCGAATGAGCAGAGACAAATAAATGAACGTTTTTTTTCTGTATCCAGGCGGAAGATGAAAAAGCCTCTGGGACGCCCGCTCACCTGATGCTGTCCCTCGCCACGCTTCCATAGCTGTCTGGTCTCTCTTGTCTTCTTCTGTACAGGTCCGAGTTTGACAACTCTTTCAGCCTTAAAGAGTTCATGTCCCTTCCGCCCTAACTCCCTTCTCCCCTCGCTTCCTTTCCTACTTCTTGTCGGCTGAGAATGTTCTGTCCAGGGCAACACTCATAGTCCAACCAGCCTGGCTGTCAACGTTGGAGCCAAAGGAAAACGTCAGGCAGTGTGCCGCTCTCAAAAACACACCTCCTGGACTAACACCTCTGCGGGAGAAGATGCAGAGAGGTGTGTTCCCCCCTGCTCACACACCTATCAGCTACTCTTTGCTCCTCCTTCTCCTGGAGCAGGTAAAAGGGGAATGCATCGCTGGAGAGAGAGGAGAGTCATTTCCCTCTGTGGTGTTTGCCCCGAAGGTTTGTGTTTGCCTCCTACTTCTCTCTTCGCATCAGAAACATGTGACGGAGAATAAGGAGGGCAAACAACGGAGGAGAAGAATGGCTTTCTTTCTGTCTCTCAGATGAGCTGTTGGTACCCTTTTGCACTTTGTCTGAAGGAGCCATCGGAGATGAGCAAGAGGTCAAAACCATTTCAAAACAGCAGCTTGAGGAGAAAATGTTTCCCCGTCGAACAAGTCCAATCAGCTGCAAGTTGTGTAACGTCGAGGTGAAACAAGGTGAAAGAAAAACTGATAAACACACGAAACTGCTCTCAGCCCGTTTCACTCATCAAACCGTCCAACTGAGATTTATCGTCAGAAGACACAACAAAACTATTGAAAAATTAAATGTCAGCCTATGAATAATTCATCATAGATTTATGTGGGAACAATAACTCCACTCTGACTAATCCAAAACACCAACATTTTTTCCCCTGGATATACTTATTTCAAAACGCAGAATTGTGAGGAGCTAATAGCTGAAGAGGAAGCAGATGTCAGCATTTGTCTAGTGAATAATCAAGCTGATATTGTGAATACCAGCAAAACATGTCACGTCAGATAGGCAGAAAACGAGCTTTGCGGTGCCACGGGGCATTGGAATTTGTAACGACACCCATCGTGCATCATCTTGATGGGTACAAATAGGTATGTGCCCACAGTCAGGAGCGCGCACCATTCAGAACAAGCTTCAGCAGCTTGCCTTGACCTGCTCGGCATTCCACATGCCTCTGAGAAGCTCCCATGGAGACCCATAAAGGTGTAGCGGGTGGCTGCCGCATTTCGGTGTGAGCACAGGTTTACACAAGCTCCACGTGCACCCTACCACAGAGGTTATAGAGAGCCAGGGTTCAAACCGCTTCAGGGGAGGCACAAATATGACATTCACCGTGTTATTGTTACGATGGTGTGAGTGAGGGAGATGTGGTTAAAGGGACAGTTCCCTTAAATCGGATGAATTTTTCCCAAAAAGGACACTGAACGGCCACAAAAACTCACAGATTTAACCATCAACATATGTGAAGTTACAAGTGATAAACTCTAAACAACTACTAGGGGACAACAACCAAAAGGATAAATACAATTTAAAAAAACACTGTCAACAAAACACTAAAAATATATTCAAATTGACCACAAAAAAAAGAAGAACAACAGAAGTAGGAAAAACCCAAACATAGTGATGCATGAGTTTGATGCAGATGACTAACAGTTTATTGCGTTTTCCAAACATTAGTCATGCCCTCCATCATGAATGTGCTGCCACCGTGTGGACATGACTGGTATTACAACATAGATATCAAGTGAAATATCTGAACTGAATTTGAAGAATAAAATGCCACATATGTTAATAACTAGATCATTTTAATACTTTGCTAAATATTTGAAATAATGGGTAAATATTTATTTGATTCTAGACCCCTCAAGTTTTATCCATGTATTGTTTTTTTAGGTAGTGTATTACTGTTTAACAGTTGCAATGAATATTATATTTTTATATTTATAATATATTCATTACACTATAATTCTAAACAAAGCCATGGCATCGGTCACACACAGAAGTGGAAGTGACGGTCCCAATGCTGAGCCACAGCAGGAGAATTCAAATGTAGTCAAAAAACAGCTTAAGAAATAACAGGTTAAGAAATGGAGCTGTGTCGCTCCAAGAAAAACTTTAACAGTTCTTAAATGCATCTTACCAATTTAGCGTTGAACGGTAGGAAGGATGTTTCAGCTCTTTCTCAAGTCCCGTTTGCTGTCACTGCAAACACTCCCACTTATCTGTGTCTGCATGGCCACATCACTTCCTGTTTGCTGCTGTGTGTGTACAGTATGTGTGTGAGGATGTTTTGTCCACTTCTGCCCAAACGCCCGTACTGTCTGTGTGTCTGGGACAGACACACCTATCTGATGCACAATCTGCAGGCAGAGTTCTTCAGTGTTTGGTTTAGGACTGTTAGGTTGGTTAGAGGCCGGGCGACATGACAAGGATGGAGTTTCAGGGTGGTGAAAGATGTAAGATGGAGGTGTGAGGAAGTCAGAGTGAATTACCAAACTGAGTAAAGTAATTCTCCTGTGTTTCCTGCCAGCTTCCCACAAGCACTTAAAGAGCCAAAACTAAAAGAAAACCCACTTTGCTGCAGTTACATTGTGCGTGATTTTCCAAATATCTTTTAAGGTGACAAATATAAAAATAAGAAAAAAAATATAGAAACAAAAAAATATATTTCTATCTCTATAATAATGAGATCATATCAAAACTCCATTCAAATCTGAAATACTTTGTGAATTAAAAGCTTTGTTGTAATCCAATCTGTGTGTATGTCTGTGTGTGTGTGTGTGTGTTGCATTCATGCTCCTTCACATTGCATGCATTCAGTTAACCCTCACCATTTCCAAACAAGGACAAGTCTACACTGGAGGCCGAAATGTCCGTCTGAGCTCTGGTTGTATCAACACAGTGTGAGATCAGATTAAAATGTGAGGCACTGAGAAAGCAGAAATCTTAAGGCTGTTGGGGATACAGGCGAGAAATATCTGTCCAGTGTGCTTTATAAAAAGCTAGATTCAACCCAGCCTATAAATCATACGTTTATGTGTGGGGGGGAATGCTCAAAATAGCATAAACAGTATCCAAAGGGGAGCTGATGGTCAGGAAGTGGTTTGGAGAGCTGTGACTTCTGTCCACTGACTTTATGTGGACATTCCTGTGCAGGGAGGAGATGGATCTACTAAAAAGAGCTACATCCTCAGTCATGTTTCCTATTATCAAAAATCTTTCTTATTGTGTTGTGACACCATTGTCAATGAAACAGCAGACAATATTAAGCCTCCTTTGCCAAAATGAAACATTCACAACTGCATGTGCTTCTCCGGATGGAAAAAATCACTGGTGGGGTTAGAAACCAGACAAAACGGTTTAAAAGTGACATCATTTGCCCAAAATAAGGTAGCACAGTCTTTAAATTTTGCAAAAGGTCTATGATTATGTCTAAGGAGAGGTGCTAACACAAGGCTTTCAATGTTTGCTGCAAATATTAGCTGGAATGATACTTCTGTACAGTTCGTTTTGAATACTTTGGTTTGTTATAAATTTTATAAAATCTGTTACACATTGAGTTGAGAGAGCTGCATCGGTGATACAGTGAACGCACCACAAGCTGATGCTTTCCAGCTCCTCTCGGAAAATGTTTCAGTTTATTGTCAGTCTGAAGTTTTTCACCACAGTACACGTCTTTGAACAAGCCAATACAATGACGGTCTTGTGTTTTTTTCTACTCTTCAGCCGGCAAGCAGCATCTGTGAAGCTTGTCTCTGAAGCACGGACGGCATCAGCTCCAAGTTCAGTCCGAAGCTCCAGGGGAATCCCTTTTTTTTCTTTTACACTTTCAGCGACTCATTTTTTCAAATTCAAATATATTGTAGCATAACGGAGTCAAAATATTATTTAAGCGTTTAGGATGTTTTTGCAGATTAGGAGAAAAACAAGTTATTTTCTTTTTTTTCCCCTCCGGTGGAAAACTGTCAACTTCCTAAAATGTTCTGGACAATGTCCCTTTAAGAGAAACATTCAAATATTCACTTACCCGTTTGTCATTTCAGTAACGCCGAGCATCTCTTCTCGTTCTGTGTGTTCTGTGTCCCTCTAATGCAGATGTCCAGATGTTGTAAAGCTGTTGAGTTTTTTCAGTCTAGAATGGCGAATACGGACAATCTCGCCTCTCCCTGCAAACGTCTCTTCACGCGATATTTGACTTCCGCCTGAGACTTTCAAACGCTTCAGCTCATATGTGGACTATTTTTACTTTAGGAATGAGTTTAAAAAAGCTGCAATGGAAAATAACGCAACTGAGCTCTTTGAAGATAGATCTATTCTATGATTTTCATTCATGTTAATAAAAGATTAATATAATTGAAATTCAACAAGATAGCTAGATCTTATTTAGAACTACGGGACGAAATATTGGTTAACGTCCAGTTTGATTAAAAGATAATAAATACAATGTTATCTATTGTTGTATAATTCAGTAACATGTTTGCCCTGGTGAATCTAAATATGTTTGGGTGTTTCCCCCCCTATTTTTTCTTCCATCGCATTTAGGAACTCTCAATAAAAACAGAACACTAGTTATCCACTTTAAACGCTGTTGGTATGTTGTTATTGTCTTTGGGAAGAGGGCCAGGGGGGGATCAATGGGGCCATTAAACCATGTCCTTTATTGAATTTAAGATACTAAAAAAAAGGGAAAACTGACCAATCCATGGTGTGTCTGATAAACCCCTGAACGCGGGGCTCTCAGCCTGTGCTTTTAAGTTGTAAACGGAAACAAATCGCAGACAGTTTCTGTGGATCGATGGGAGCTTGATGTCCAGTCATCCCGCTACTGAATGACATTTTCATGGGTCTGACTGGCAGGAAGTGACCCACCCTGTGCAGTCATCGCAGCGTCTGCCTCGGTGCAGCACATCTGGCTGGCTGCCGTTCCTGATGCCGTCCCCCTGCACGCGCTACAACATCTGCAGTCGTACTGATGACGTCAAGTCTCTTATAATGGGCTTTCTTTTTCCATCTCTGTCGCTGTTGAACTATGCAGAACTTCAACATGGCGGAGGGGTTTGTGTGTGTACGATTTCTGCTAAACTACCCAAGTTTTTATTAAAACTCACTTGAGAGAAAACATTGGCCTAAACATACCTTTTATTCTGTGGGACTCGGCTGAAAAGAAAACAACAACACAACTCTGATTTGAAGACATTTTTACTACAAAGCGCATTGGAGAGACCCGGTTAAGAACGAGAAAGGGTTAATGATGCTGTTCCTCTCCAGGGAGGAATAATAGCATGTTTAGTTCCACTACCAGAAGCGTACAGTAGCTGCTATTTGTTGTTTCCCCCTGATTACGTCATGACAGAACCACATATATTTCCTTAAAAGGAAAGCCCCTACCCTCTTTCCCTCCCTCAAGAAGGTTGAGGGGCTACAGAGAGTATCTGTGCAGATGTCCAACAATTCAACTCCCTCTGCTGTGTTCATGGGCTCTGGGATTTGTGGCTGTTAAATTGAGGGAAATACGCACTAAGCCCTTATGTTTGGAGATAAAGTTTATTGTGTTTACTTTGAAGTGTGAGTCTGTATGTGTAATTTTAACAAGTCATTTCATGAGATAACTTTAATCATAGAATATGATTGATAATAATTGGAATAACTCAAATATCAGAATGCTCATAATGACTCATAACAGGCACAATTTAAGGCAAAGCAATCAACTGCATCAGTGCTGATTTAATTATTGTTTACAGTTGTGAAATAAAGCCCACTGGATGTTTGTAAGATGATTTCTTTACATACAGACAAATATGGCAGAATATTAAATGTAAATAACATATGACAGATAAGATCAGACAGTTATGGTAATCTCTCATAGCTTCTGCTAACAGTAACCTTCATAAATATAAATGCTTTGATAAAAATACATTCACTTGTGGTGGATGACTCCCAAAGAGCTGCCAAAGGAATAAGAAACTTAACGTGTAAATATATGTATATTCTCTTTCTCACTGCTAAGGACAAAACCGTATTCTTGAGACGGGAGCACGTCTAAGTTCTTGCAAAAAGATGTAATAACGAGGCAAAAGGGCTCTCTGTTCTTATCTCCCAGCAGGATGACGGCACAGATGAAACTCAAGAGACCAAACTACAAAAGGACATCTAACAGAACAATTAAAATACTACCCAACAAGATCCAGATACCAGATAATAATTAAGTTATACAGAAACAAGAAAATTCAGAAACAAAACACAACTACAGGACATTAAAACTCAGAGTTAAATTTTTACTGCGGTTGAGTAGAGAATGTGAGGCATTAGTGAATACTGTAACTGCAAAACCATTCTGAAAAAAAAATCTATATGCTAATGGGATAACATTTGGTTTTGGTCTCGTGAACATATATTTAGTAACTAAACTAATCCTGATAAGCAAGTATTTAATGGATCACTTTAACTGTTTGCCTTGTTTGCTTTTGTTCTCAAAAGCGTGCTGAATTAAAGACTTTTGAACATCCTTTTGGCCTTCAACCAAAATCATTTTCACTCTAACCTAGTTTCATGTTAATATAATTCTGCAAAAACTGAATAAATAATGCCTACAGTTATGTTAAGATGAAACTTTAGCAGTCAACATACGTTAGTAGGTCCTTGCAAATGGTTAAAAAGATATGTATAGGAGTGTAATTTAGAATCTGTCTAAGCCCCAGTCTTCCAACTTGTGCACATCGTGTACTTTCTAAAATGCTGGCAAAACAACAGACACATGTTCTTTTGCTAATAATGCTCTACAAAGAAAATATGCTATTATCAATGCCTGTAAGTCAGTGACACTAAAGATAGATGTTGGTCACAGTTTATCTTATTGGTAATATTCTGGTGCACTTAATGCAGTGGATAATCAAATCAATAGATATTTCAAATATTTTGGTTTTCTTAATCTCTATTATTCACTTACTCATCGCTATGACATTCTTCAGTTCCTCTTAGTGCACACAACATCTTAATAAATGCCTCAACTGCAACCATTTCAAATGTACAGTGTCACTGTTTATAACAAAATCTCAGAGAAAAAAGGCTCAGTAATGCCACTGCTATGTGCTCCCAGTGTTAAATGCTGACTTGTTCAGTCACGGTCAAGTCTATCTGATACCAGACCAGCTGTGGAGGTAGGAGGTCCAGCCAGAGCCCCTAGATGCAGCCGCTTCCTCTTCACCTGTGGAGAGAAAAGCAATATATTAGAATTTACTGAGGTGACAGAAATTATTTTTCCTGTAGCATCTAAAGAATAATTTGAAGAACCTAAAGAATAACCTGTTAGGGCTGAATAAACCAAAAAGAAGTCAATAAATATAAGTTGGTGAGTCAAGCTCTGTGTGTGGACTGCAGCAAATATCTAACATATTAACCAAAAACAGAATATTCATATCTTAAAAGACAATTAGCTCAACTGTATCAGATACAATTTGCACATATAGCAATTCCTCTAGTTATTACTATAGTTATCCACATTCGTACCTTGTGCGATGGCAGACAGTTTGCTCTTCTCCTCTGGACTGAGCTTCAGCATGGTGTGAATGACCGGCAGGAGAGCCTGCCTCTCACTGCCAGAGCGCAGGAAGATGAACTGCAGCAGGACGTTTTTCAGGTACTCCAGATTGGCGACGCTTTTCTCCCTCTCCTGGTTTCTCTCAAGGCGTCTGATTTCACTTTTCAGCAGCTGGCAAGAAGAAAAACACATATGCATTGAAATAAGCCTTTACAGACTAATATCAATGTATTATCTGACCTCTTATTACAAAGGCAAAGGCAAGAAACACTTGGGAATCGCAGAGATCTTGTTAACCTGACAGGAAAAACATCAACCTTGTTTAGTTAATGTGATGTTTACATGAATTGATATGACCAATACATTTTGTTAATTTATCTTACAATTTATTTGCAAACTCAAAACTTATTTTGTCTTTGGGGGGGTGTCCTTTTTCAGGTGCGATCGCTTGATTTGTGCTTGTAAGCATGAAACCACGTTATTCGCTTCTCTCGCGAGATCATCGGTCGATGCTGACGCAAAACAATTATGGCGGCGCCCTTTCTGACAGATAGGCCTGGCATTGTAGTAAAGAAGGTTTAAACCGAGCACAACGGTAACTTTTATCTGACAATACTGTCTTATTTTGCGGTCACAAAGGCTCAGAAAGGTCACGGAATCTTAAAATGGGCATAGAGCGCCTTCTTTTCGGAGCGCTGGAGTATTACTCCAAGCAGCTTCGACTCGGCAGTAGTTACATGACAGCCCGAGTCTTTCATAGGACACTATGTTCTGAGACTTCACTTAACAACGGTGTGTTCACACTTCTCAATGCTACCAAACTGCCCGGTGGAATACTTCTTCACACAGGCCGCCAGATAAGAACTCGTCGCGGCTTCTGCACCTCCACCAATCCCACCAAAGATGTCACTTTGTTCGAGCACGACAGGACCGGCTTCTTCCGGCTTCTCTCGATATTCTGTGGCGGACAGTTCGTCTTTTGGACCTATCTGGCTCACTTTGCCTTCACTGGACTTAAAGAAACGCCTGGATCTAAAGATAAATCCAAAGACAAGGTTCCCACCACCACCACGGGGCTGGCTGGTCTTTGGAGCTTCGAGATGAACCTGGGGTCAAACACTTGGAGGTACGGGTTCACGTTGGGATGCCTGACAATCGGATTTGGGATTGTCGGCCTTGGGGCTCTCTTTTGTCGACGATCTGTCAGTAAAGTGGTTCTACACAAAGGAGGACGGATGGTGACAGTTTGCACACAGTCTCCTTTGGGACCAGAACATGGCAGAAATATGACAGTTCCCCTGTCCCAGGTGGCCTGTCATGCCCACAGGCAGGAGTCTCCATCATTCATCCCCCTCAGAGTAAAAGGACACAAGTTCTACTTTCTGCTGGACAAAGAGGGGACAGTGAACAATGCCCGGCTGTTTGACATCACTGTTGGTGCATACAGACCATTTTAATGAGTGATCATGGCACAGCTGCTGAAACTGCTATGGACTGATGAAATATTGGTTCTCACATCTGATGTCATTGCTGCCAAACCAATTTATTATGTTTTGAATGTGATCATTCCTGTTCAAGTCAATAAACTCCTTTAAGTTTGGCCTAATTTAGATTCAATTGTGATAAATCATGACCATACTGTGGACATTAACTGATTCAAAATGATCGTTTACATTACTGGAAAACATTTTTAGAGTATTTAATAGTTGAGTAAACAAATTGTGATGATCTGAAGGAATTTACCGCAAGCAAGAATATCAGGGTGTCTTATATGAGTTAGTATATTTTTACATACTGTGATCTGCTCCATCAGAACTGCATTTGTGGCCTCGGTTTCATGCAGAAGGCTGTTCATATGTTCCATGCTGCGGGTGGCTGTGTTCAGCTTTTCACTTAGCTCCTCTTTGGTTGGTTCCACTGTCCACGCAAAGGGCTCTAGAGATACAAACAAAGCCACAAATAAGATAAAGGGAAAACCTCAGAGTTTTATTTAGTTCTGCTATGGTTAATGAAAGAATAAACTGAACTCCCCTTTGGAGGAACTGAGTTATTGCAACATATCCACCTCTGCTTTCAAAAACACACCTTGTTTGGGATCTGGAGAAGTAAGTAGCTGCTCCAGAGACGGTATGGGTGTTAGAGAAGGGGAGGATCTCTCAGTTTCAGTGGTTTCCATGCCTTCGCCCTCCTCTCTGGCCATAGACTGAAGTTCACTGAAGGCCACTGCTCCGAATCCTGCTTGGTTCTGTTCAAGGTTTCTGCGCTGAAGGTCTGATGTCAGATGTTTACGGCTGGACTGGGCAGACACTGAACCTGAGGTAAGAGAAGCAAATATTTAGTGATTTAATTGCTTAAATTTTGACAGTAACACTCCACTGAGGATAGTGTATTACACACAGGTGCATACATAATTAATTTTTTCACATTCTATTTGACGTTTACCAGTCTTGAAGCTTTTATAATATGTGCATTACTATATAATAATTTCATGCCAGTCTGTATTGATTTGTGACTAAAGGCAGCACCAGACGCTTTCTGGTCTTTTCCAGTTCAGCTGGCATACATGTTCACACCAAGTGAATAGAAGCATTAGGTGGAGGAATGAAGCACTTTAGAGTGGGTGGACAACAAAGAAGATTGTGATAAATGCACCTATGATTGAGACAAGGACAAAATCAACCATTCTTTACCACCTCCCACCTGTCTGTCTTTAAGAGAGGACCAAATCCTACGAGATAGGGAGTACTGCAGTGATGGTTATGTGACTCCATTCCAGCAGATGGCCTCATTGGGATAGAAAACCAAACAAGTCTGCTATACAAACCCTTACAAAAAGTTAACATTCTTACTTCTCATCATGCTCCAGACAAAACACACTGCACAAAAACTGAGTGACACCAAGAGTCAATGAGGAAGGAAACATAAATTCTAAGTCAAGTGAAAATTCTAAATGTTAAATAAACAACACTAATTTCTTAAACAAAGTCTCTGCAAAGCCAAAGGAAAAAAGACATGAAGAAACTGTTGTTTTTCAGATTTCTAAATTATGAAAGATTTTCAAAATGTTTTCGACAGAACATGACGGTGAACATAGGCCAGTGTCAGGGTTTTGACATCAGAATGGCCAACCTGCCAAAATTCTCAACTATAACAAAACTAAACCTGGATTTACGCGGCAATTCAATCCAATAAAGTAAGTAACCCTAACACCAGTTTTGGCCCTAATGTTTGGGCTTCAGATTCTGTGCCAGCCACTAATGATGAGCCCCTCCAGATGCCACAGTGAGCTGTTTGCCACACTGTGGGGCGGGAACAGGGCCGCGAAGCCTTGCCAACACCTGGCCATGCTATGGTGTCGGAGAAGCAACACACAGACACACACTTGCCTTGCCTAGTTATTACAGTGAGTATTTGCTGTTTGACTCCAGAGGGCAGCTGTGTGGGAGGTGATGAATGAGCTCTCAGGGCTGACAAACACACTGATACACACACTCCTTTTCCCTCTCTCTGCATCCCATCATTCCACTCATGCAGGTGAAGAGTAAACAAGACAGAAAATTTCAACAGCACTTGATGCTTTGAAAGGTTTCTTTAAGGGATACACCGTAAGTTTCCTTCTGCAGCACGGTTGTTGGATCATTCTAGATCCTTAAAATTGTACAGGTGGATTTCCTACAGGAAATCCTGTTTGCTATGTTGCCTCACATTAAGAACCGGGTCGTCATTATCTGCTAAATTTCGATGGCTCAACTTTGCCCTTCCCCCCGATGCTTACTGTTCTGACTCTGCAGGCTGAAGAGTTGCTCCTCGACTCGGGTCAGCTGTCCCTGTAGGGTCTCCACGGTGGCCCGGTGGTCATCCTGCAGCTTCCTCAGCTGCTCCCGATAGGTGTGCCGCTGCGCCTCAACCTGGGAAGACCTGTCCGCCTGAGCCTGGGACACGTCTGACCGCAGAGCCATGTTCTCCGATTGCAACGCCAAAAGTCTGGAGGTGGGGGGTGAAAGGCACGAGAACGGTTTAAAGACTGCTCAGTTGGCTGATAGACAGGGCATATGGCAGAAAAAAGAAAAAAAGAGTGCAAAGTATTTGCCAGATCCAATTAGGTGTTCCCAACAGGAAGACAAGATGGAAATGAGTGTTGGGTGGTGTGGGAATCATACAAATTCCAAACAAGGTGGAAAATGCACAAAAGAAACCCAAAGCCATGCAGGTTCACCTCTCACGCAGCTCGGCCTCCTTGCTAACGGATTCCTGGAGGATTTTATTGTGTCTCTCCAGGAGTGTGTCGTGCTCCACCTGGAGCTGCTGCAGCTCTGCTGTGCTGCTCTGGAGGCTCTGCTGGCTCTCCGCCAGTCCGGTCCTCAGCTGCTCCACCTGAGAGGACAACTGCTCCCTGGAACACGAACCAAACGTCTACATTACTTACACGCTCATTTCAAAAGAGTTGGCATTCTACCCTGAAAGCTGTTATCTAATTCCACAGTTACAGATTAGGCAAAAGGGTGAACATTATTGGAGCTTTTCCACTCATATTTCTGTTGGGACCTCACTTCTAATGGATAACCATCTAAACTGAGGTGAGTTGCACTGATTCTCGCAGAGTAGGTACTAATGGGATGTCATAAATACATCCCAGAACAGCAGCTTGCATTCATTAAACAGGTTGCACTCTGGCATCGTGTTTTCTGATTACCAGCCTGCAGCTTCAAGCCTCTCGTGTGCTGCTCTCACCTCTCCAGTTTATCCGAGTCTCCTTCAGTCTGGACGCTGGTTTTGCTCTTCTGCTGCCTCAGCACGTTGTGCACCCGCACCTTGTAACTCTCAAACTCGCTTATCGTTTCTGAAAGCTCCGCCTGGGAACAAAACACACACAAAGTGCAGACATGCAGTCAATGGCACCACAGACTTACTGTCATTGTATTGAGCAAATGTATAAATGACAGAAGTATGTGATTAGCCAGTCCGACTGTGTAACTGATGACATTACTTTCATTCTCACCAAAACAAAACAATCCCTACATTTCTCCAATGTTTTTTGTCATTTATTGCTCTCGTCCAGTCCATGACTGGAATTGCATCGTGTAACTCTCAGAGACTAGAACCATTAGACAGTCTGAGTAAAATGGTTTACTGAAAATGCAACTCTCATTTAACTTATTTTTTTTTATGGTCATCTTCAGGCAAGAGCCTCTTTCTAATGACAGCTGGTTTGAAATAACTGGTCCATGCGCCTTTGTAATCTTGGAGAAAATGGGAAGATAAATGGGAAATAAAACAGATGGAGCAGAAGAGAACAGAGAAAAACAAAAACAAAGAAAAGGCACTACGCGGCCTATTCCTGTGAGTGGGCTGAACAGCATTTTACTTTCAGAGCACTGGAAGGCTGCTGGCTATGAAATGCCAATCAAGAAGTTGAATTTTTCACAGCAAACAGGAAGATAATCTTTTCTAATTCTGGGTCTCAACAAACACTGGAGATTCATTATGCATCATCTTATTTTGTTGTACATAACATTTCAGCACTACTTCTCTTTATTGAGTGGAAACCCACTTCAACCGATTTCTGAGCAAGATTTTGAAATATCATGTGTCGCGGCTCCAAAAGGAGAAGATCAATCACTTGCCTCCGAGACAAGTGATTGGCTGTCTCAGGATATTGATAAATATAACCTACTGCAGCAACTAAATAGGAGTCATCTATCAATTAAAACAGCTTCACTAGTTTTAGTTCTTGTTTATATTCATGCAGATTATTTTTTCATTACTGGTCATGCTAACTGGCTATTAGCAGCTGTCACTTTGGGGATTTGAAATATGACAAAGGTACCTTTGGAACAGCGTTGAGAGTGCAAAGATTTGAGTTATAATTAAAGATAATTGAGAGATTAATAATGAATATAGTCATTAGTTGAAGTACCATTTATCAATGTTCTCTAATCAAAGTCCTAAGTCCACAAAAGACTTTGCTCTTGCATCCTTCAGCAGTTGAGCTTATTAAGTCCTGTTCGAGCTCTCATCCAAGCACCATGAAAAAGGGGAGAATTCCACCTGTGTACCTTTGCAGAGTCTCTCTCCTGTTGCAGGCTGAGGATATGCTGCTGCAGGGAGTTGCTGGTTCTCTGCTGCTGCTCCAACGCAGACCTCAGCTGTTCCTGCAGGCGATGGCGCTCGGCTGTCAGCTCACTTAACTCGATCTAAATGCACAAACACACGCGTTCCACTTGGTACCTTGTGTTTGAGCTAAAGCATATATATATATATATATATACTTTTTTTTTTTAAACAAAAAACAAGATTTGAGGGAATATTTTGTGGTAAGTATTGGGTGTGAGACCTTAGAACTTTCTAGCTGCTGTTGGTTAGCCTCAAGCTCTCCTTTCAGAGATGCCTGCAGCACCATGAGGGAGCTTTCCTGTTGAAAACGAACACACACATTCACAATAAACACAAAAAAGTTCACATTTAAACCCACATGCTCTAAATATGAACACAAATAACTGTCTACTCCTCATTTCGTCAATGCATTTTCCGATTATGCTAATATGTGCGAAAAGCCACATTCATTTAGCACTCAGTAAAGGACTTCCATTGAGACAGACCTCCAAAGAAGATGCATAATCTAACCTGTTTCTTGGCATCAGATAAGTCTTTCTTGGTTTTAACCAGCAGCTGCTTCATCTTGGAGGCCTTCTCTTCCTCCTGCTCCAGCTGGGACTTTAGAGAATCTGCAGACACAAGACATTGATCAGCACACAGGCAAAAAATAAAGAATGAAAAAATAATACTAATATTATACACCATGTAGCCAATCCAAGGCTTGACTATGCATTTTAACAGTACATCTTACAATTCCTAAACCAATCTAGAAGGGAACGTGGAGTTTTAAAGTTGCATTAGAGTGTAAATTTGCCCCAAAAAAATAACACACCAAGAAAACACATACTTTTATTATTATTATTTTACTAATCACATGATAAAGACATCTGTACCCATTTCCTGTTTTAAATTCTCCTGCTTGTTGGTGAGTTCATTTATCTGAGCCTTCAATTCCTCAGCATTCTCGACTTTCTCTGTGAGTTTGCCATTGAGTTCTTTCACCAGACGTTCGTAGTCAGCCATTTCCATGTCCAACAGGGAGCTCTGCTGCGCCTCCTAGAGGCAGAATGAAAAAGAAGAAATGTAGTGTCACCCGGGAAAACTTTTGAATAAAAGTATATAAAACAATTAATATTTTTAAGAAATCTTAATCTCCCAAAGAAATATCGTGTCTGACCCTGGATAGTCTTCTTGAAAATATTTAGATATTTATGGTGGAATTGTCTAAATACAGAAATGCTCTTTAATCCAAATAACCTGTAATTTCCTCACCTATCGGTTTATAAAAAATAATGATTCATTAATTAATTACTTCAAATTCTAAGGAATATTTTTTAACATTACTTAAATAAAATTTGGTCTGATTTTTTACACAAAAATAAAAGGGTAAACTAAAAATACATACTTTTTGATTTTACATCCTTTCTCACCAATGGTCACACAAAAAAAAGCCTGTTTCTCTGCTGTTTTAACAGAGTCGAAACCAGACAAAGCCAGACCTGCAGGCAGCTTTCATGTACACTGCTGTACTTTGTGGGTCTCTGCTAATGGAAAAGTAACAGCGGCTCCTCCTGCTCTGTGGGTTGGAGCCGCTTTCCCCCCTCTCTTTCTCTGAGAGGTGCTACTGCTCCAGGCTGGCCATCACTAGTTCAGTCGCTTGAGTGGTTAGGCCCTCTGAGACAAACTAAAGTCTCAGAAGCACTTGTGTGTGTTTGTGCATGTGTGTGAGCGTACCTTGCGTAGCTGGTCCAGCTCCTGGGCAGTCTGCTGAGACTGCTGCTGTTGTTTGCGGAGCTGAGCTGTCAGCTCTTCTACCTCCTTCATGGCAGATGACAAGTCCTGGAGAGGCAAGCAAATACATGTACAATCCAACAGATGGCTAAAATATGGCTCTATAAACTAAAAATATTCAATGTTAGGGTATTTATTAAATACAGCAATGAGTATTTAAATAGGTAAGTAATAAGTAATTACGTAAAAATCTATTGTTATCTCCCAATTGCATGTGTTTTTAATGTATAAATGCACAACAGAACAGCTACAGTGAAAAGGCATCTCCTTATTTCTACCTTTAGCTTTTGTTCTTTCATGGCTCTCTCAGCCACCAGTTCTCTGTCCAGGCTTGCTAACTGTTTCTGCAGCTCTTGGTTCTTAGCTTCCAGCTGCTTCACTGTGCTTCTCATGGTCTCCACACCGGCCAGTAGGTCCTCCTTCTCGCTGTTCAGTGTCTCTTTCTGTGAGAGGGTGAATACTTTGGATCAAGGGTGGAAATCCACACAGAAACTCAGTTTCAAGCCAGTTTCTCGTTCATGATAGTGAGAGAGGATTCGTGTGAGTCTATTCTCTGTAAAAATCTAAATAAAAATGAAAATAGAAATGCTAATTTAAATATTATATTGAATCGACTGGAAGATGTACTTCTAGGCAAATGCTTCAGACCTGCACATCACGTGACACTTCTGAAAATCATCGGCGCGAATCTGACAGTAGAAGGCTCTGTGGGCTTTCTCTGCAAGGAAACTAAGCCAGCTGCAGCAGCCATCTCCACTCAGCTGTCAGCCAAACACTGCAACTATGATCAGTAAACAGGGACGTCGTGAAGTACTGTGAGATCCCTAACAAGCTCCAGTCTCTGCGCTTCCCCCGAGAACCATGAGTGCATAGGAGGATAAAGCTGTGTCTTGGAAAATGGTGGCGCACCAAGACGCAGCAGATGGAAGCTATAACCTGCTCCATTTACCTGCCTGCTCTTTCATTGAGAAGAGACAGTTATGAGCTTGGGGAAAGGAGCATATATTTATAAAAAACAATTTCCCCCCTGCTCAGCCAGTCAAATCTGATGGGCTATTTGTGGGTGCCATGCCGTCACATATGTCTGATAAAAGTGTTGCTGGCTAAAACGAGCCCTTGTAAATCACATGGAAACTGAGTTATACTATTAGTATTGCAGAGATGAATCACAGGACAAAGTCTCATGGCTTAGATTTACTGGAGATTGAGGGCATTTTGTGTGTTGGTTGGTTTTGAGGTATGTGCGTGATTGAGTGCGGATCCCGGTTACCTGTGTGACAGTACTGCTGAGTCGTTTGGTCAGCTCGGCAATCTGTCTCTCTGCCGCCTCCACCTTCTCTCTCTCCCTATCCAGTTGCTCTGTCTGCCGGTCGTAATCTATCTGCAGGTTCTGCAGACACAGTCGCACAAACACACACACACGCATCTTCAGAATTCGTCACTGGAGGTTGGCTGAACGGCTGAGCGAAGGTAAACAACGTGCATCTCAGATATCAGCTGCATTTACATTTGGGTGTGGGGCAGAGCTCTCATTAGACACAATAGGCTGGTTTCCTCTTTAACAGAGACACAGTTGTGCAGCGCGCTGCAGCCTGGGGGCTGCTTATGGAGACCTCGGAGTAATGTTAGGCACAAGTTTGTTTTAAAGATCCTCCCACTTGCCAATTAGCACACAATGTACTTGGTTTGGGCAAACTAATTAAACACTTCATGACATCTGTTATTGTCATTGGAGGTCCTTCCATGCTTCTGCCCATTAGATGGAGCAACACACGATGCACTTGGACACATGTGTAAAAGCTTTGCCTTTTTTAAACTTCAGCAGAAGTTTAGCCCTGATGTTTATAGGCTGATCTGTGCTAAAAATGACCCCGTGCCAACTTGTCTATTTCACAGATGCGCTGCAGTTGTAAAATCATCTTGGTTTCTTTGGATAAAACAGCAGATTATGGGTTTTGCGCATACTTTCTTGAATCTTCAAATTAAAATCCACACAGCAACACAACTTTGTTGCTCTTACGTGTGTTACCTCTTAGACAGCTGACATCTTTTTCAGACAGTACCTTGTAGCCCTCAGCACCGTGGATGATGTCTTTCATGGAGCTGTTCACTTTCTCCCTTGCTGCTTTCAGTGAATCTACTTGCTCCCTGAGCGCAAGAACCTGAATAAAACAATAAAATAAAAAAAAGCCACACATAATTACCAATATAAGACAAGGAAAAGTACCTTGAAGACTGATACCCTCTATGTATGACAGTGGAGGATGTGATTTAAAGCTACAGCTTTATAAAGGTGTATAGAATTATCAGGCATCATCAAAATATCAGGTAGAATGGATGCAAGTGTCGTGGATGTTATGATAGAAGGAATTTGCAGCAGAGAAAGCTCAGATATCCAAGTCCAGCTTTAGTAGGTTGAACAGCAAAGATGGCAGCTCTACTAACGACCCTTTTCCAGTCTGTAAGCACTGAACGCAGCAGCTAATTCTCAAGAGATTAACAGTGAGGGACCAACTTCTCTTGAGCGAGTGTGAATCAAGAATTCAATGAGCCAGTTTGGGACTGTGTATTAAAAAAATATTTGGAGTGTCTTGAAATAGAGGCTTATTTTACTTGAGTTGTCAATATTTTTGTTCTGATTCAGAGTACACATTATTGTTAGCATTACTCTGCAGCGCAGCCATAATATGTGTTTCTATGTCATTTTACTTTAACTCTTAATGTGCTCATTGCTCACTGTTTTGCAAGGTTAGAGAGGCAAGACTGCCTTGTCTTAACCATGGCTTTTGGGTCATACTACTGGGTCATTTTATCCAGAAATGTGCTAACTGTGACATCTTATCCTGGAGGCGATAGATAGTGGGGAGACTCGGACTCCGCTGGCGGTGCTCTGAGGTCAGAGAATAGAGGACGCCCAGCAACTGATCTTGTGTGACATTAACTTTCCTGAGCAGGCATCTGGGTCAGACGTCCTCCACACCACTCTCTTTTTCTTATTGTATTTTATTCATGTTAATATAATTAGGTCTAGAAGTTTGATCAACATGCATGAATACAGACGACCATAACTGAACTGTGACAGGTGTATGGAAATTACAGATATTCTGAGCAATAGAAACAAATGTAAGATAGCTTTACAAACATTTTGGGTGGACTGAAAACTCTGTAAATACGAATTCAAATAAAAAGTATCGTTATTACTGAAATTCATGTAATGTGCGAGTCAGACCTTGAAACATTACAGTCATCAGATGCCACTTTCTTATTGACCTACCTCTTTCTTGTTGATATCCAGCTCTTTCTTGGCTTTGACGGCAACTGCCTTGATTTTGTTGATTTTCTCATCCTTTTCTTTGATTTCTTTCTCCAGGACAGCTGAGGGAAGGTGAAGTTACAACGTCTGAATGAGTCTTAAATCTTTATTACCGCTTCAACAAAGCTAAATGTAATAATGGTTCTAATTGGATGCAACATATTTAAAAAAATTTAAGTAAATAAAGCTGTTGCCACACCTAATTTCTTAGTCATCTCCTCAGTGGCCGTTTCCCCAGAAGAAGCAGACTGGTTAGCAGACTCCTGTGAAAGTGGCGGATAAAAAAAACAAAACAATCTTAATTATGAAACCTTTAGTTTGTTTTCATCCCATCAGAAAGACACAACTGCTGAGGTGGTGAAGCCCAATTCTAGCAACTCTAAATTGTTATAAACACTCATCAGGCGCCACACTCACCTGGAGAGAAGCCAATTCGTTCCTCAGCTGCAATATGAGAGAGTCTTTTTCTGTTAGCTGTTCCCTGAGCTTGCTTCCTAACTCCATGTTCTCTTTTCCCATCTCTTCGTTCCTCTCCTCCTCTTTGGTCAAATGAGAAATCTGAGCCTTTAGTTTCTGGTTCTCATCATCAATCTGTACATTAGCCGACCTCACATCCTGGAGGTCTTTTTGCAGCTCCTCCCTACCCTGCATCACCTCCTCCAGGTTGATTCTCAGCATCTCTTTCTCCTCTTCGAGATTTTTGATGTGAGCTTCAAAGTTCTTTTGCATCTCTTGTGATTCTTTCCCAGCTTCAGCCTCCAGCAGAGTGCTCTTCAACAGGCTCCTCTCTTTTTCGAGCTCGTTGACACGAGTGCGCAGCTCTTCCAGCTCTTCAGTGGATTTGACGAGGACTTCAGACTGATTTTCCTCCAGCACTCTCTTGGAAGCGCCAGCCTGCTCAGTCAGTAGTTTTAAATCTGCTTGTAGGTGTTGTTTTTCCATTGTCTCCTGTTCCAGTTGAGTCTCAAGGACTCCCAACTTGGAGTTCAAAACCCCCCTCTCTTCCTGAGTCTTTGAAAGCTCTAATAAAGCCTCCTCACATTTGTGTTCGAGGTCAGCCTTTTCTGTACCGAGTTCCTTAATAGTCTGCTCCAAAGTGCAAAGTGTCTCCTCACAATTTTCAAGCTTATTTTTCAGTTCTTCTTCTACTTTTTCTTTCTCTTCCTTTAGATGTTTGACTTCGTCCTCAGTTTCCATTTTTAAGCTTTTCAGCTGCTTTTCTTTTTCATCTCGAAGTAAAAGTGCCTCCTTTTCCTTCTCCTCCACCAGCATCTCGATTTCTTTCGTTCTCTCATCTTTCAGATGCTGCGTCTCGGTTTCTATGAGCTGAAGCGAGTGTTGTACTTTATCTCGCTCTTCAGTCAGCGTGGTGACCATTTCATTCAGATCTTGAATAATGTTCTCCTTCATTTTCAGTTGGGACAATATGTCCTCATTCTGCCTCATCATGTTCTCTACAGCTTGTTTCAGTTCACAGGTCAAATTTGTTTGTTCCTCCACAGATGGCAATGGTTTCTGGTTCTCTCGTGGGGAATTCTCCAGCTTCTGCTTTAGATCTTGCATTGTCTCCACCAGGGTGTTTTCCTGGACTGTAAGCTCATGCGTCTTTATCAGCAGTTGATCCCTCTCTTGACTGAGCTGTTGGATCTTGTCCTGGAGGTCCTTCACTGTATTAGCTCCCTGTTCTTTCATAGTTTGATACTGCTGAACAAAGTCTTTTGTCCTCTCGCCCAGTTCTTTCTCCACATTTTGAAGTATGTCCCTCATGTCGTGACACTCGGTTACGGCAGAATCTCGCTCCCGGGTCAAAGCCTCACATTGAATTCTCAGCTCTTGGTTCTGTTTTTGTTGTTCCTCTAGTTTTAGGGAGCTTTGGTCTTTTGACTCCCCTTGAACCTCCTGCTTGTCAGGATCTCGGCTCGTTAGAGGTTCGGTGGAAGCACTATCCTTTGTCATCTGCAGCTCATTTACTTTGAACTCCAGCTCTTCTTTTTCCATCTGGAACTCCTCCTTAGCCCTCTCCAACTCTGCCTCCAGCTCACTCTTCACATTACTGATTAGGGTGAGCTCATCCTGTAGCATGGTGTTCTGGGCTTGAAGATCATCCAGTGCTGCTCTGAGCCTGGTGGCCTCTGCCTCCTCTGCGTCACCCTGGTTTGTGTCAGCCTGACTACAACCGGACAGCTCGAGCATTTTAGCGATCCCTGAACCACGAGGAGGTTCCTCGTCTTCCTCTTGAACGTCCTGAAGGTAGCTGTCTGAAATAAACACAGAAATAAGAAAGTAATTTGTTAAAAATGTCACTTTATTTTAGACTGAGCTTTCATTGTCTTAAGAAAGACAAGTAGCTTGCAAACAGTTTCCAGGAAGAAAGAAACACTGTTACTGTGCCGTGGCTGTACCTTTGAGAGCCAGCTGTTCGGTTAGCTCTTCATGAAGCAGCAACAAACGCTCCCTCTCCATCTCAAAGTCCTCCTCAAGAGCTCTCATATCCTCCTCATGCTGCAGGGTCTTCTGAGCTAGTTCCTCCTTCAAATTTTCCACCTCCTGCTGTGCCTCTGTCAACTCCCTACTGTGGTTTTCCTGGAACTCAGCAATCTCACGAGAATTTCTCTCTTGGACTGCCGTCAGTTCGGCTTGAAGACTTTCCAGCTGAGTTTCGAAGCAACGTTTGACTTCTTCCACACTCTGTTTTGAACTTGCGCATTCTGCTTTTCGCTCCTTCTCTCTTTCACTTTCATGCTCTCTGTCCTTTTCTTCTCTCTCTCTCAGTAAGTTTTGGAAATGGGCCACTTCTTCCTGGTGTTTGGTGTTGGATTCCTCAATGGTGCACTTGAGGATTTGGATCTTCATTTGGTGACTTTCCATGATGCGTTCATGCTCACTCTGCAACACTGCCAGATCATCCTGCACAAAGCAATAAGGCGCAGGAAAATTTAAAAAACGCCAATAATGTTGAGAAATGCCACAACATTTTCTGTAAAAATCTGACTATAGCAAAGTATAAGAATTGTGCATCGTGCTGTATTTTACCTTGGCTTGCTTCTTAGTCCTCTCAAGTTCTTTGCGCGAGAGTGCACAATTTTCCTCAGTTTCTGCCTTCTCAAGTAGTAAGGAGTTGATCCTCTCAGTCAGTACCTATTAAACACCAGAAACAGCTTGTGAATATGTGAAACGGAGAAATAATTTTAACAGGCAAGTCATATCTCTTTAATAACAAACCTCAATCAATGATGCCTCCTCTGAATTACTGACACTGTTTTTTGACTCCTGTTTCAGGGATTCAACTTCTTTTTCCAAGTCTGAAAAACACAGATTATGTGAAGTTACAAAGTTGCACATTTTGAAAGAGAGTTGTAGAATCATTAAAAAAAATTACCTGTAAATCTGCTCTTCATCTTCTGCATGGCAGCCATCTGCTTTTTGGCGTATTTAATGAGATCATCTTTGGACAGGGTGTCCAGCTGAAGATAAAACATAAACAATAAGGGCAAATTATGAGAAAATAAAAAGTGATGAGTATGTAACATCACAGTTTTTGTCTTACCTTTGATTTGGGTGCACCTGCTGGTGATGGAGTCACAGACTCCACTGTAGTTCCTCCAGGATCCTTTAACACAGAACATGATCAACTGACCACAATGAACTGCACAGCCAGCAATGCATATGCTCTGTCTCTAAATATTTCTGCGACTTTGTTGGCACAGTGCTTCATTTAGAAAGGTTTGTGATGCACTGCTTGTCATCAAAAATGTTTCAGATGTTTTTTTGGTATGTTACGAACCACCTCTTTCACTTTAAAACACACAAACACAGCCCATAACAGTTACCCTAACAGTTCACTGCTATCGTTAAAATACAGGGTACAGAGTAAATGTCAACACGGAGAAGCTACAAACTAAGTTTAGTCAGATTAGCTAAAGCTAACTCTTCGACACTGAACACTCACCTCCATGTCCGTATATCTGCTGTTTAGCTTCTTTTCAGTCACCTGTCACACACGCAGGTTGTTGACCAGTGATATTCAAATCAGAATTGTGGGATTATTTTAATTTATTCGAAGACGCAATGCCTTTACATGCCCTCTGTTTTGGTTTGAGGTAACACAAGCTAAAGCAGCTACTCGCTTCCGCAAACGTCGACGGAATGACGTCTGAGTCTTTTACGTCATGATATAATCCAAGATCCTGTTCAACAATAACGCTCCGTTTAATAGAAAAGCATTCAGTGTCATTAAATTATCATGTTTTTATTTTATTTTCACTTTTTTTAAACGTTCTCAGCGTTTAAAAATGTTGACCCAATTCAATGTTCAAAGATTAAGACAAAAGTAGGGACGAATTAAAGATCTACCGGTACTCCTATATGCCAAGTTAACAAAACCAAACAAACTTGTCCCAGTGAGTTACCATACTATTAATGATGCAAATGGAATTGTATTTTGATCAGTTAAAGTGTTCTGAAATAGTCTACAACTATACTTTTTTTCCTGAATCTATTCCTTGATACCTTTTATCCAACCTGCTCTCTCGGATGGAAAACCATGTGCAAATGTGCATGTTCAGAACCAACGACAAATATAACTCATACTTCTTACAATACTGAATCGAAGTTTTGAAAAACCTGAACTGAAACAATATCTGAAATGAGGTTACTATTTGAGCTTCTCCTAGTTAAATACAACTCACCACAAACAAATGCAGATTAAAGCTCCATGATATATAGAAGACCAAATGTGAAAGAAATCTAGAAACATCAGGCCAGAGCTAATTCAAAATGGGCCGAGACAACGTAATCAAATTAAATGACACACAACAACCCACTGTGCATACTCCAGACCAAAAATTAAATGAACTGCCAGGTCTGTCAAGAGTTCAACTGCCTTTATCCGGAGCACATAAATTGAGACAAACCTGGCAACTTCACATGTGAAAGATCATCATCATTTCATAGATGAAAGTTGTACACATATAGACTATATATTAGAGAAACATTCTCACATCCACACAATGTCTTTTTTCGGTAGGGCTTACCGTATTCAGCACGATAATGATTTGGCACAATAACAATAGTGTTTCCTTCTGGCAGATTAATCTAGGTGCTGGCTTGCCGGCCTTAAACCATCAGAAGACAATTGACATACAATAGATACAAAATACAATAAAGAAGAGTCAGGACCCCTGAGCACTCAGAATCCTATGTTAGACAACATTCATCTCATTGGGGTCAAGTAATTGGTACCTTCTGTTCCCTGACATTAATACAATATTGATTGAAAAGGAGATGCTACAAGATGCCATGTTTCAAGATTTGATATCAGAATCAGAATCAGAATCAGAAATACTTTAATAATCCCAGAGGGAAATTATTTTTGTTACAGGCTCCATAAGCAAAACAAAGGCATATACATATGTACATGTCTATACATATATACATATATATATACAAAATTCCTCATAAATATAGCTAGATATATACATAAGAAACAATATGTGTCTTATGTTCTACTGTGAATATAGTCTTGGGTAATGAAAGTTTAATTCTGATTTTACCTAAGAGTTATGCACCAGTCTGGCCTTTCTAGGGTTATATCTTGTCAATGCACGTTTATTTTTTTGTGTGCTCCAGGAAGAAGAAAGGATGTCAGCCTCATCCAGACATCAGATCTGTCCCAAGTTCACTGGACCTTCTGTATTCCGCTCACGTGAGAGTTTATCTGTTGAATATGGAAAAAGTGTATTTTGACACAAGTGACGGAGGCATAGACAGGGCCAACTTAGCGAGATGCCTCTCATGCTGACAAGGCTGGCATGCTCTGAGCACAGGGGCAGGCTGTGCCGACTCGCTGTCTCGTCTGGTAGGAACCTTTCTCTGCCTTCCACCCTGCCTGGGTCAAACACACCCATCCATCAACAACGCGTCCCTAGTTTTTCTCCCAGGGCATCCAGCAGTGTTTTGTTGCCATTTTTCTCCCCCCACTAGTGGCCGTCAGTCAGGGATGGCTTTGCAGTAATATAACTGACAATGGCTGGCGTTCGGGGAGTAATGAATGTCCTGGCCGGGTCTATCAAAAGGAGCTACAGACACTATATAATGCTTTAGTGCCTTTAGTTTCAGCAACAACCATTCAAACCAACAGTGAGGAGTGAGCTGCATTCACCTCACCTCATCTGAATTTTTTTTTAGTTTGCTTCAGATTCAGTTCAATAAATGTCACAAATGACTGTACATTGCTTCTTATGGATAATTACCAATATTTTGCCCAAATGCAAATAAGTTTTTTTCTCTTTTTTGGTTTCCTGTCAAAAGATGATCAATTCTTGGTTTATAACTACTCTCCATCCTTTAAAAGATGAAGCTTTCACAAAACAATCAGTATTTCATGCTTGTGGACTTTAGTTTCACTGGAGTTTTTCATGGTGTTTGATTATGTCCAGTACTTCATTCTTTATTTTGAGTCTCAACCGATGTCTCTTTGCTTGTCACCACAGGGGGAAACTTCTCACTTGTACATAAACTCATCAGTCTTTGTTTAAAGAAATACAACAATTTCAAAACAGACAACACAACCATTTCCTGTCACTTTGAAGGCTCATATAGTCAATGCTGTCTTTTAAATCTATAGGCTGTTCGCTCTCTGCAAAACAAAGACACCATTAGTTGTACAAATGCTGCAATGGGGGGAACAAAAAATGTTTTGTCGAATCCTGAATTCCTCTTTTGAAAGCACCTGCACCCAGTTGCACTCATCCAGGCAGCCAATCACTGAAAGGTGACTTTGGTGGGAATAAAGTGGAGTGGTTATGTCACGGACCCCCGCAGTCTGATTGAAGCTTCTCAGTGGGGCCCCTTCTGTTGACAAGAAAAAAATTGCTGATTAGATTTTGAATAAAAAACGTACTTTTCCCCCCTGTGAAACACTTGAATTTTGATTTTAAGGCCATAGATCTGAATTAATAAAGAATCGTTGAAATGAAAGATTACAGTTAAATTATACAGTTATAGAGTTATAGTGTTAATCGGTGATACATCGACCAGCAGATGAACAAAACCAGAACCATGCTTCTGAAAATGTTTTCAATTCCAGAAATCTCTTTTAAGAAATGTGATTTGCATTTGTTTGAATGAGACATGCAGATAAGATTGTCCCATTTACACAGTATTTACAGTGTTCCACTCCTCTTTTCATTCATTGTGCCCTGCATTCGTTTCTTTCTGACATTTTACCTCTTAAGACTGGCAGAGCCATTAATAGGGTTGACATTTGAACATATAGCTCTGACATTTTAATGTATTAATATGAGAGCTGAACCCCTCGTATTGTTCTTTTCACAGCAGACGCTGTGAGTGCGGGGGCCTCAAATAAATGACTGTTGCTCATAGTCCTGAAAGATGACAAACCGTGTCATTATGTTCTGAGCTGCCGTTAATAATGTGTTTACATAACAGGTTAATAGTTAAGTCTGGGTGTCAAATTCTCAAGAGCAGGTACTCTGTCAGTGGTTGCGGGTCATTAATCAAAAAGGCTGTAAAAGAGACATCTGGGCCTTTTATGAGCATTTATACTGTAAATGTATCAGGCTGGTTGAAAATTGACCATCCAGTGGTTAATGAAACAAATGAAGTAATCCCTTTGACTTTGTTTAAGTCTCTATCAAATTAAATGACTTATTAGACAAAATGCAGTGTCAGCTGTATTTGCTTGCTCACAGCTTGCTTTGTGAAAACAGATGCTGACATAGACACTGCTTTACAATTAGAAATAAGAAGTTATCTAAGGGTATATCCCTGTTTATTTTGCATGGTGTCAGTTTGGATGACAGAGGCTTTGGAGGCCCTCTGTCCTCAGGATGCTACTGATTTATTGATGATATCAGAGAGCTAGGCTTCTGATCTCATGAGCACACTGCATAGATGACCTTTGATTGCACCATTGATCGAACTCTCAGGTTGTTTAGAATTTTTGAGACGAAAAACACTTGGTAGGCCACAGAATGTCTCCGACCACAGACCAATGATCAGGTGTAACCTGTTTTCTGTATCTGTAGGACTGAAGGAGTTTTGTGTAACGAGAATGAGTCCTGTTTCAGTTGCATCATCTAAAAGGAAGGGTGCAAGGGAGGGACAGTGTTCAGAAAGAAGGAGCAGAAAGTGTAGCAGTTTTCTCTTCCATACCCTACAGCCTGTCCGTGTGTTGCTGTATAAACAGTTTGGTGGCTCAGCAGGAGAAAAGCACTTAATCAAGGAGTGTGAGCAGAACCTGCATCCATCGGCACTTACAACAGCGCTGAGTTTTGATTATGGTCGTCTTCTTCGCTTCCTCCTCCTCCTCCGCCTGGTCTCCATACACTACCCCGGTACACTAACCCTTCCTTCTGCACGCTTACACCGCAATTTTAACATCCTGCACAAATGCTCCAACAACATAGTTGAAAGAACGACAAGTTTAGATCTTACAAGTTGGCACAAATTTCAGATGTGTTCCAAAATCTTAACCGAGAGGAAAGAACTTCAATTAATCCTTTTCATTCAGACAGTTGTGTATTTCAATTGATTTGTGACTGTTACAAGTAGAAAGTTACAGATTGGGTGGCTGCAGCAGGGTTGTCAAGAGCACAGAACTCTTTTCTGTCTTGTCACCTCGTCTTTCTGCTGAAGTATCTTGTCGTGAAGAAAAGCGAACCTCATTTTCCTGGGTAAAAGATGAGAGCAGTTACAGTTTCTCAGCATCAATATGTATTAGCTCCGCTGATAGCATTTACGTTTCATTGTTTGCTTTCACACATGCCGGCTGTAGCAGAATTTCAAAGACGTCTTTTAAAACCATTAGCGAGAACGCTTATTTTTCAGTGTCAGTGGGTTGCACTTTGCTCTGTCGCACACTCACCATGGAAGCTAATGTACATATTCACTCAGCCCATGTAAGGCAGCCCTGAAACGTCATCCTAGTTAAATGCATGACCCTCTTAAGAACAACAAAACGCACGCACACACGTACACAGCAGGCCAACGTTGATTTCATTAGCGGCGGTGGAGATGGCGAGGAGAGTGATGAGGCATCTGGATTCACCAGTGACAGCTGTTTGCAAAGTGTGACTGAAATACTGCCTCCCCATCTCCCCCTTCTCTCCGTCGC